TTGGGTTGGATTTCTGCAGCTGCTGCAAGTGGTGGCAGCAGTGATTGGGTTGGCCACTGTCATGACTGTGGAGGTGAATTTTCCTTTGTAAGGGGATGAGGCCAAGGACTTGCTCAGAAGAGGAATTCTACCCAAGGACTAACCTCAGAACCACTTTCACAAGACAAGCCCATGATGCAAGGGTACCTCTGGCCTGTGGATGTTAGACAGCTGTCCTCTGACTCAGAAAAACCTATATTCAGAAGAATCAGTCTTCCCCAGTATTATCATCCCTGCACAGGCTTTTTCTATGACAATGTCAGGTCATTGTTGTGGGAGATCAGCAGCCAAACCTAACAAATGCATATTATTGCTAATTAGCGTGAGAAGGGGTTAACACTGCAGAGCTTTATTGCTGATAGGCAGATACTAAGACCATAGATGTTCAAGGCTCTTTGTTATATTATTTTCCCTTGTCTCCTGGGGAGTACTTCTGGTCCCTCCTCTTCCTTTGACCATCATTGGATGTGGACAGGCCTCTACTTGCTCCAGCTTTAGGCACATATCTGAAGCTGGTAATACTGTAATAAGGATTTTGGGCAGGAATTAGAACACAATTGCCTAGGGTTGAACCACTGGTTTTGTTTAGTATCCTTCTAGAGAATTTAGATCAGGCATAGGCAGTCGGCCCTCCAGATGTTTTGGGACTACAACTCCCATCATCCCTGACCACTGGTCCTATTAGCTAGGGATGATGAGAGTTGTAGTCCCAAAACATCTGGAGGGCCGAGTTCGCCTATACCTGATTTAGATGCTTGCTCACTGTTTTGTGACATTTTGGTTAGTCCTAATAAATGTACTGCCTCTCTTGTGATGTTTGGCTTCCCCACTCTTCTACCGCCCCATGATGAACATGGCTATCTACTATTTTTCTATTCTTGTGAGGGTTTTTTCAGGGTGTGTGTATATGTGTTGCTGGAGTCTAATGGAAGATCCCATTGTTGAATTAGCCAGGCAAGAGCCACTATGGCCCTAGGTATGAGTTGTTATTATAAGAAAGGAAGTTATTCTGTGCCAGAGGGCAAATGGGTGGGCTTCCACCATACCTGGCTAGTAGTGAGAAGGACAACAGCCAGGGCAAGTGCAGAGAGTTTGTGTGTGTAAGCTGGGCTAGAAGCAGGCAGTTGGCAGAAGCCTGAGAGTGACAGCCATGCTTGATGTATGCTTGAATCCAAGGCTGTGACTGTGGGAGAAGCAATACCTTCTGGGGTGTTGATGCCGTGAGTCTCTCCATCTTTGGCTTAGGTTGTATACATATTTGTAAATAAAACATCTATCATTTGATAAATGAGGAGTACATCAGCTCCTGGTCAAAATCTATGGAGTATAAGGCCTCTTCAATAGGTCTTTCACCATATTTTCTTACCCACCTGGGGTATGATACTGCCCTCAAAACCGTGAAGCAGAGGTTATGGGATATTGCCTTAGTGATTTATAATCTCGCTCACATGTGACCTGTGGCCGATCTGTGTCAGGAATCCAAAACCTCATTCCAAGGAAACCAAACCCTGGGTAAACTCCTGGAACCCTTGGAAAATCATTCTGCTTGGAGATTGGGGTGGAGTACAACACAATGTTGGCCATTTCCAGTACCCTGTGCCAGAAGCAGGCAGGAGACAGATGGCATTTGGGGGGTCAAGTTTTGGTGGCTCATGCTTTTCCTGCTTGCAGAGATAATGGGACTAAGTGAATCTCGGTCTTACCACTGTGCTACATTTTATAATCTTCAGCAAAAGGATTTCTTTAGGCAGATTTGCATAGATATGTTACAGACAATACCTGTCACATTTCAAGTCGGGGCCTTTGAAGCCACTGTAAAGTTCTCTAAATATGCACTTGGCAATTGAGGGTGGCAGTTCATGCATATAAAGGAGTGGGTTTTAATTCACACAAGCTGATTCTGCAATAAATTGGCTAGCTTTTAGGGCAGGGGTAGGCAACCTAAGGCTTGGGGGCCAGATGCGGCCCAATCACCTTCCCAATCCAGCCCGCATACGGTCCAGGAATCAGCATGTTTTTACATAAGTAGAATGTGTCCTTTTATTCAAAATGCATCTCTGGGTTATTTGTGGGGCATAGGAATTCGTTCATTTCTTTTTTCAAAATATAGTCTGGCCCACCACATGGTCTGAGGGACGGTGGACTGGCCCACAGCTGAAAAAGGTTGCTGACCCCTGCTTTAGGGTGCCATCAGCCTCTTTCTGTGTGTGCATGCAACTGCACAATTTGTTTTACCCTAACAGATAAAGAGAAGCCCACAGTCCAATGCTAACCAACATTGGTGACTGGTCCTCATTGCGACTGGTATGGTGGAAGGCAGGGAGCCCAGCAGGAGGTGCAGCAGGAGCCAACAATGGAAGAGCCAACTATTTTAGCTTTGTTCCCTCTTATCTCTGTTGAGTTCTACAAGGGCAACACTGGCACCAAGGAGAAGGAAGCTGATAGCCAGTGCCACATTTGGACTGATTTTAGGTAGGAAAGTGGGCAGCTGGGGGTTAGCTGAGGGAAGACCAAAGTGGGTGGGGCAGTGCCCCATTGGCTCTGATGAATCAGCCTCCAAAGTTAGCCATCACAACTCAATAAGATTTCGAAGGGGCTTACTCCCATGTAAACATGTTCCAGAGGGACAGTTCACCTCTGCTTCCTTAGGAGTAATGTCTGGCTGTTTGCGAACCCTGCGTTGTGAACGATGATCATTGTGACTATTTTCCATGCATTTTAAGCTTGAAAACTGTGATACCAGTGTTTCCCAAACTTGGGTCTTCAGCTGTTTTTGGACTACAGTTCCCATCATCACTGACCCCTGGTCCTGCTAGTTAGGAATGAAGAAACAACAGTTTGGGAAACCCCCACATCCCTCAGAGTACAGTACCGTGTAATATGCACCTGCCAACCTAAAACAACACTTAATGCATCTGGGAAAGTGCTGGATTCTAGTCCATGAAAGGTCACGCCAGAATATACCTGTTCATCTTGGAATAGTGTGGAATTCTAGACGTGTTTCCTTAGAAGTAAGTTGCCTCTAATGCAATGGGACAAACTCACAGGTGCTGGCAATATATTTTTGATTACAACTCCCATCAGTGGGAGCCAGTGTGGTGTAGTCTCCGCTCCTCCACATGCAGCTGCTGGGTGACCTTGGGATGGTCACACTTCTTTGAAGTCTCTCAGCCTCCCTCACTTCACAGAGTGTTTGTTGTGGGGGAGGAAGGGAAAGGAGAATGGTAGCTGCTTTGAGACTCCTTCGGGTAGTGATAAAGCGGCATAACAAATCCAAACTCCTCCTCTTCATCATCATCAGCCCCAGCCAGCACATCTGTATGATGCAGAGGCTGGTGGGAGTTGTAGTCTTAAACATCTGGAGGACACCAGACTGGGGAAGGCATGGGTATACTGTAAATTCCTATTATATTTTTATTACTACAGTATTTAAAAAGCCAAAGAGTAAAGATTTCAGGCTGCATATTTACATAGGTTTACAAAGGGGGATTTTATCTATATTTTGATAATTTTATCTAATGCTCGTCCTACTCACCACAGACCTGCTGAAATTAATGGGCCTACAGCTGTCTTCTGCCCTCAAAAGAACGCTGCATGCTATAGATTACCCATCATAAGTGGTACTGATCCCAGCAACTATTAACAAATTACAGTGCCTAGAATTTTTAGGGAGGGATGGAAGCAGTGGCGTAGCGTGGGGGGTGCAGGGGGGGCCGGCCGCACCGGGCGCAACATCTGGGGGGGGCGCACGCTCGCACTCGCAGCTCTCTGCCCCTACTAAAATCAACGGGTTAGGGGGCGCAAATTACTTGCCTTGCCCCGGGTGCTGACAACCCACGCTACGCCACTGGATGGAAATGCTTCCAATGTGCATTAAAGATATAGTCTGTTTGCAGCTATTTGTTAATTTCAATGGGTCTACTCTGAGTAGGACTAGCATTGGATGCAACCCATTATGCCTCCACATTTTTAATTCTATTGATTTTATTGGTATTTTATGTATTTATTTTATTAAATTTGTGAAAAAATAAATTAGCATTTGATGCGTATTTTATGTAAAAGGCTTAGAGTTTGTTCTTTAAGTTGGCAGTGGGGACAGATAAAGTGGCACAGAAATTTTGTTAAACAACCAGTACACTCTCCTTGCTTGGAGGTTTTTATGCACAGGTTGGATGGCCATCTGCTATAGAGGCTTTAGCTGAGATTCCTGCAGTGGACTAGATGACTCTTAAGGGTCCATCGAACTCTAGAATTTTATGATTTTATGAAATGATTTGCAGTGAGCCGGCAAGGTTTTCTCACTCTCAGCTGTTTAACAAAATTCTAGCCCACCCACTCAACCCTAAATTATAATATTACAATGAAGAAAAGCTGCGGTTGGGATAATTTGGTATCTTTGGGGATAAATTGATATAGCTTTTGAAAACTGATTTATTTTACTTTCCTGTGTAGTGGAAGGACAGTAAGCCCCCTTCTGCTCTGGTGTTCAAAAGGCAAATCCCCTGTCTCCGGATTCTTTCTTATGCGAAGCACTATCTTCTTTCGCAGCCGGACGCGGTTGGCGGACCCCGGGGTCCTAGAAACCGAAGTGGGTGGTGGGGAGGAGGGGCACAAAGTAGACCCTTTCCACGCTGCTGCAACTGCCTGCCCGCACGTGCGCTCCAAATTTATCCGAGCAAAGCAGAAGCTTGGGGGAATCGGGCAGGCAGACCCTTCTCTGGAGTGACAGAGACGGAGCGATAAAGAAAGAAAATTAAGAGCCTGCAAAGCGGCTCCACTGGCTGGACTTGTCAGTTTGCACGGAAAAGCCAGGCAGTGCATTGCGGCGGAGAGCCAGAGAGAGGGAGCGAAGGCGGGGTGGGGGTTTGTAGCGGCCTCTTGCCCCCCCCCTTTTTTGCACGTGCTTGTTTTTGTTGATGGGGCTCAGCCCGGCCCCGGCATCACGTGCCTCCTCGACGGCCCTCATTGTGTCGGGATCCGCCTGTGTGTGTGTGTGTGTCACTGATCAATGTCATGACTTCCTCCTTGGGCTGAGCAAGCGGCTGCGTCGGGGAGGACCCGGTGGAAGGAAGCCGACTGCGTTGATCTAGTCGCCCCCACCTCCACATATACACGCTCTCTCGCTCCCTCTCTCTCATACACACACACAACTTGCCCGGCTGCACCAGCTTCCTCGGCATTCCTCTGCAGCCTGCCGCCGCCGCCGCCGCCGCCGCCACCACCACCCTAGTTGCTCCGCGCATCGCACCAAGCCTCCTGGGCTCCCCCCGGCGGGACGGCGGGGGGCGAAGAAGATGAGCGCAGGGCACGTCGTGTGCACGGGCTGGCTCATCAAATCGCCCCCTGAGAAGAAGCTCAAGAGATACGTGAGTAACACTAATAATAATAATGAAAATAAGCTTTGTTTCTCCATACCCGCCCGCGCGTCCCCCGCTGCTCCTTTCCTTACAAGGTTTTCTCTTTTGCTTTAACAGCGGAAAGCTAGAGTGGGCTCATCGTTCCTTTGCCGTGCAACTCCTGCCTGCTCGCTTTCAAACTGCGGCGAGCTGGTGCGGGGTGTAAGCTCCTACGACTGCGGGGGGGGGGGGGTGGGTGGGCAGCGCGATCCTAAAGCTGTGTCTGCTAGGAAGCAAGCCCTGCTTGAATTGAGCGGGGCTTGCTGCCAAGGTGAGTTAGGGTTAGGATTGCAGCCTTCAAGTGACAACGCCGAAATGCGCATCGGCGAAGCCCGGTTCTCGTTTAGGCTCCCATCGGCATTGCGTTGCATGGGCTGATGGTGCTATTCGTAGACGTGTGTGTGTGTTTCTGTGTGTATGATACAAATACAACTGTCGGCCCCCACCCCCTTCAGTGCTTGGGTGATGGTGGTTGTTATGCAACCTGTAGTTTGTTTTCAAACCCCAAAAACCTAACAAACCACATTTTCTGTTTCAGTTAATGTGTGTGCCTGTTTTGCAACCGACATTCAGATGCATCTTGTTTGACTTTGGGTGACTTGCAAATAACTTCTTACTCTCCCTATTGGGGGACACGCACACATAGTTGCATCCCAAGAAGTGCCGTAAAGATGCGGCAGTCTTGCAGCTGCTTCGTGTGTGTGTGTGTGTGTGTGATCAGATCCTGATCGCAGCTGGACCGAATTTATTTGCATGAACCCTTAGTGTCTTTCGTAGTTGGTGTTACGAGGGCAGTGTGGAGGCGGCGGAGAGAAGGATGAAGGAGTTGCCTACTTCGGCTAGAAAGTTCAGAAGGTTCCGGGGCTCAGGACCAACTCCGTGTGTTGCAAGGAACCGTTATTTTGCAACCCACCCAGAAACTTGCTCTCGCGGGGGCCCCCTCTGAAAGTGTGCGTTGTTTTTAAAAGCCCATTGCAAGCTCTCAGCTCAGGATTTGCAAGAACACCGTAACAGTTAAATAACATCATCATTTTTCAAATGTTTGTGTGTTGGCCTGCCTAAAACAGCTGCAACTGTTCTGGTGGTCCGTGGACTCACCTCGCAGCCTCGGCCGCTTAGAATCCTCTCCCTTAACTACCCAGCCCAGCCGGTCTCGCTTTCCCTTCGTCTCAGCCCTGCCGCCTCCCTCTTCCTCCTCCCGGTTAGTCCGGTCTGTCTTCATTGACGCTATAAATCTGCTGGGCGGAGAGATCCCTCACACCCGCGCGGCTTCTTTTCCTTCTTAGTTTATACAGTGCCCTGCAAGTGCCCGGCGAGAGTACTTAGCAGACTTGGGACTGGAGGCACAGTGACTCCGGAATGCAACCAGCAAAACACATTTCCTGATCCTGTGCGTCCCCTTTGTTGCTGTCCGGTTTGTTGACTGATCAGGAATGAATGCACTTAAACGCCCCATGCCTCCCGAGGAGGGAGAGATGCCACCTCTTAATGCAGTTCTGGCAGGCTGGCATCACTTCTTCTCTATTTCCTTACGTTTTCCTAAACTGCTGGTCCTTCTCGCCCTTCAAAGGCATCAGCTCTCCCCTCCCCCTGCCCAAACCTGGAAAATGAAAGCAAAAATCATTGCATGGGTGGACTCTTAAAAGGTTTCTTTCTTTCTAAGCATCCTTTCCCCCCCACATCCATTGGGCTCTATTCTTTTTCTTGCTTTTACTCTGCTAAATTCCCTTCCCCCCTCCTATAACTTTAAATAACCATTGCAGCCAGTCTCCAGAGTGCTGCATATAAATAGCAAATTTGTAGTATCTTTGGATTTTATTTCATTGCTGACATTGACATCTGTGGGCCTGTTTTGGGATATGAAAAGCACAGACAGCTCTTATACAGCAGCATACTGATCTATAAGGATAGAGATAAGCATACCTATAATACATATAAATCTCCTAGCTGCCGTTGTTAGTAGCTCTTGAGAGTGGAACAGTCTGGGTCACTTGCACGCCTATGTAAGTTTGCAGTTAGGTTCCACTGGTTGCAGCTACTGTACACCATACATTTAAAGCACCCTTAGGATTTCCCTCAGGGAATCCTAAGGAACTGCAGTTTACTCTTCACAGAGCAACAGTTCCCAGCACCCTTAAGGAACCATAGTTCTCATGGTTCTTTGAAGGAAGCCATGTGCTTGAAATGCGTTTTTAAATGTACTTAAAATGTATGGTATGAATATGGGCCTTACTGCCTGTACATCCAGATCTACCTTCTGCACCACACCACACAAGCTGCATCAAAAGCACAGCAGGTTTGTTGCCTTATCACACAATCTTACCCTTTGTGTATTCAATTCATGTGCCCCGAAACAGACTGTAGGAGCATGTTGAACTGATTCATCAAGCTGATGGGAGTTGCCTGAAACATATGCAGAGCTGCTTCTTCTTCTTTGGCGATCACTCGTAGCCGAGTAAGATTGCCTTCCATAAACATGGTTTTAACAATGAGTCCGTAAGTGACTGTGGAGGACAATTCTGGATCCACACGTCCATCCACAGTGGGGACATTGGTTTCCGGGCGGGAGTTGATCACTGTATGGATTTGCCAAATGCACCTTCCTCTTAGCATGTTTCTCCCTTGCGTCCTAAGTTCGAGTGTCTTCAAAGCCCACGACACATTTGATAAAGGCTGTTCTCCAACTGGAGCGCTTGCAGGCCAGTGTTTCCCAATTGTCAGTGTTTATATTACATTGGGGAAGTCATAATTAATCTGTCCCTTTTGTGTGGTTCAGGGGGATAGTTCACCTGAATACTGTAGTGCTCTGCCAAAATATTGCATGCCATTTCCCCACAACCATTTTTTTTTTTGAGGTGGGGGGGGGGGGAGGGAAAGTGAAGATGCCTCCAAAAAGGGGATGGGAATTTCTAAGGATTTGTTGGGGTCGGTGGGTTGCAATTATCTTACAAACTTAGGGCAGTGGCGAAGGGGATCTTGCCTTCTCTTCAGACAAACACTTTATAAATAACTGTTTTTGCAGGTGGGTCTAAGCTTTGAAAGTTTGTCTGTACTTTGGGAACATTTCAGGTGCTCAAAAGGCAAGACAGGAACTGTAGTAGCACCAATATCCAGAATTGCCTTGAGAAACAGCAGTGAATTCCATTGCATTTATGCACCACTAATGTTGCTAGCCTGTTGGGAGCAGTGAAGGTTGGTCCATTAGAGAGAATTGGGGTGCTACCCTTGCAGCCTCAATCTACCCTCAGTTACTTCCATTTGCCTTCCTTCCTGCTTATAATCAATCCACAAGGTTGCATTTGTCTCAGTTTTGTCACCTGTAGAAACTCATTCAGGGAGGAGGATGGGGACAAAACTAACAACAAACACATTTTTATTTATTTATATGCTGCCCATCTGACTGGGTTACCCCAGCCACTCTAGGTAGCTCCCAACAAAATATTAAGAACACCATAAAACATAAAACATTAAAAATTTCCCTATGCAAGACTGCCTTCACATGTGTTCTAAAAGTAAAAGTTGTTTATTTCCTTGACATCTGACAGGAAGGTGTTCCACAAGGCAGACGCCACTACTGAGAAAGCCCTCTGCCTGGTTCCCTGTATTCTCACTTCTCGCAGTGAGAGAACTGCCAGGAGGCCCTCAGAGCTGGACCTCAGTGTCTGGGCAGAATGATGCGGGTGGAGACTTCAGGCCTGAGGCTTTAAAGCTTAGCACCAACACTTAATTGACTTTGCCTGTCATTGGTTCTGGCACCACCTACTATTGACCTCTCTGCCTTCTCCCCTACTGTTCCTTATGGGCACCAGCCCCTATTGGTTAAGAGGCTAGTGGTCTTTAAAGAGGGGAATCTGATTCATCCTCAGCCAGCGTGGAAACACACAGTACTAGCCTCTTAGCAGACCAGTTTTTATTTTAAAAAAAACCTTGTATCATGCAGGCTAGTGGAGGAGTGGCAGAACAATCCATCCTTCATCTGCCAGCGTTCTGCATTTCTCCTTCAGTCATGGAAGTGGGGGAGCCTCTTACTCTACAGCCAACACAGGAGCCACAGGATGGTAGGGGAAGGATGGTGCAATCCCTCTTCTGACATCCTGCTTGCTCACCTGTATGAAATTCCTTGTCGTTTATGGTGACCAGGCAAGCTACCTAAATTCAAGGCTCTTTGGTGGTATTATTTTCCAATGGTCTTTAGTTAGATTTCTCTAGGGCAAACAGAAGCTAGTCTAGGAATTGTGTATTTATTTCCTACGCATTTTTCATTTCATTTGTATCTCACATTTTTCACCAAGGACCTCAAGGTGGCACACATGGTTCTCCCCCTCCTCGTTTAATCCCTGCCAAAGCCCTGTGAGGTAGGTTAGGTGGAGAGGGGTGACTGGTCAAAGGTCACCCATTGAGCTTCATAGCCAAGTAGGGATTTGGCTTCTCAGGTCCTAGTCCAGCACACAAACCACTACACCATGCTTATCCTCAATAAGTGATTGGTTGGCTATTTTGATACCTATTCCTGCATATATTTCATCTCATACCTATGACTTTGAGCTTATACTTGTGGAATATATTTGACTCGAACAGCATTTATCCCAGCTCACTTTAGAATGTAAAAGGGGGCATATGTTTTATGTGCTGATGTATATGCGCTTGTGGCTACCTTCTAGCAACAGTCATTGGAGGACATTCTCAATGGCTTCCGTGAAAGCAGGAATGTTTCTGAGATAAGAGGATTACTAAATTATTACTTTGTAGCGAAAGTGAAGTCACTGCCTCGGACAGTAATTCTAGTCTGCAAGTTACAAACAGAAGCAGAATTTAGGTTCACATCCACTGTTATATCCAACTAAGTACAACTTGGAGTAACCCACTGAAATTAATGGGGCTAGGTTAGTCATGCCCGTTAATTTCAAGTGGGCCTTCTCAGACTAAGCTGGATACAACATCTATGCAAACAAGAATTGTGCTAGAACATTTATTATTTCACTGAGGTTAAGGTTGTCAACAAATACCAGCCATGATGGCTATACACTGTCTCCAAGACTGGAGGCACCAATGCTTTTGAATACTAGTTGCTGCAAACCAGAGGAGGGGAGAGTGATCTTGTGCCCAGGTCCTGCTTTTGCGTTTCCCACAGGTATCTGTTTGGCCACTGTGAGATCAGGATGCTGGGCTAGAAAGGCCATCGACCTCATCCAGCAGGCCTCTACTTAGGTTCTTATTTTCAGTCGCTGCACATCCAAACAGGCTGATGGTTGTAGCAATTCGTTTCTAAGAATCTTTGCACAAAGACAGCTAGCTTGGAAAATGAAGCATGCACACATAGGATTGCTCGCGTGTAACTCTTGATAAAACAGATCCTAGTCCAGCAGGCCAGTGTAGCTGGAGTGTCCCAGTGCTGATGTGAGTCGTGGTGATGACTGAAATGATGATTCACACAAATCTTTTGGATGCAAAATTACTAGTAAGACAGTTGAGCTCGGTATAAGCTGGTTCACTTCTGTGCTATTAATATGTTAATGGTATTGCAGGTTTTGCTGATAATGAATGTGAAGGGCTTTGAACACTTAGGTAAAGTAATGTCACTCCTCCTAATAGTGAACTTGCTCAGTGTTTCTGTGCAGACAGGATTAGAGCCAAAACGGGGCTGTTGAGAAACAGTATGTCAGTGAATCTCAAGGTATGCATGAACACAATACAAAAGAAAATAATTAAAAGGAGGCCAAACAAAGCCCCCAAACAAGTAATATGTACCGTATATACTCGAGCATAAGCCAACCTGAATATAAGCTGAGGCACCTAATTTTACCACAAAAAACTGGGAAAACTTATTTACACGAGTATAAGCCAGTTCACCACATCACAAACCTCCTGGTGGGCCAGAGTGTGTGTGTGCGCATGCGCACACAGCAGAGGGGGCTTCTCCCCCCCCAGCCCCTCCCGTCCCCCTGCCTACCTAGGGTGCTGCCGAGAGGCAGACGCTGATGGCGGCAGCGATGGAGGAAGAATAAGCAGCCCAAAAGGGCTGCTTTCGGGCTGCTCGTTCCTCTGCCGCCAACAGCGGCAGAGGAGGAGGAGGAGGAGGAGGAGGAGGAGGAGGAGGAGGAGGAGGAGGAAGGAGTAGCCCAAAAGGGCTGCTTCCAGGCTGCGCGTTCCTCCTCGGCCGCTGACAACAGCCTCTGCTGCTGGAAATGCGCTCGGGTGGGACACTCACTCGAGCATAAGCCGAGGGGGGCTTTTTCAGCATTAAAAATGTGCTGAAAAAGTCGGCTTATACATGAGTATATATGGTGCATAGTTTTCAGGAGCTATGAGATGTTGAGCGCTGGTTGAAAAAAACAAAACACCAGGAAATTGGAGAGGTGTATGCGGGGGAGAATGAATTGAGCCGCTACCAACAGGAGGAGTGCGGACCTGTTCCCTTCTAGATGTTGTTTGACTCCAATTCCTTTCAGCCTGGCAGGGCTGATGGTTGTTGTAGTCCAACAACATCTGGAGGGCTTCAAGTTTCACACTGTTTCTCTACAGCTGTATAGAGACCCGGAGGAAGGCATGGTGGCATGAACAGGAGAGCACATCCCTGTTAAGAGGTGAGACTATATTGTAATATGTTGGAGATCCCCCTTACTGTATTTTTCCGTGTATAAGACTAGGTTTTCTTCCTAAAAAATAATGTCAAAAATTAGGGGGCATCTTATACACTGATACATCTTCCCCCATTTTCTTAAATCTGAATCCCCCAAAATAGGTGGCGTCTTATACATGGAGGCGTCTTATAGACGGAAAAGTACGGTATATAAATAAGGCTGTTAATGTTATTTACGTTGATGATGAAACAGTTCTTACCCCTGCTTTTCTTAGAACTGAACTTAAGGGAGCTGAACTCTAGCCATTAGAAAAATAGAAAACACCTGAGAGAAATCTATAAATTTTGGTTTCAATGTGGGGTATTACTGATTCGTATATGGGGTATCTAAGAATCAATTCCTCGCAGCAATAATACTATCAGATTTTTTACATGTATGTTGTTGTTTATTTCTTTCAATGGATTTGTAACCCGCCGTTCCTCCCAGGGCAGTTAACATACATATAATTTATGTGTAGGATGCATTTCTTTGGTACTTGGTACACAAGAGTAGCATAATTTATTAACTGGACACACATGTACCAAATCACAGCTATATGAAGGGTAAGTATTAGGCCCTCACCCGAAAATATTTTCCCCTCCCAGTAATATATGCCATTCATAAATCATACAGTTTTATAGCAATTCCCAAGTCTACGAAGAGGTTTTATTGTGAAAGTTGTGATCTTTTCACTTCATTCATGGAGCTCTTTTGAGAGTTTGTGAAAACTTGTAAAATACGTTTTAAGTCATGCAAAATTGTTTATGCTTAAAAGGATGTTCCAGGCATGAATTTATCTTTTGCTTGACTGAAGGAATTGGCCCATACTAGTTTTTCAGTGCTGGGGTGAGTGAAGTCTTATCTACTCCATTCAGGACTTTCCAGTCTTACAGTTACAAGACTTCCCCCACCCCTTCAAAAAGGCATGTATACACATTAAGCACACGGCGACACAACAATACTTCAGTTATAAAACAAATTGGCATGACACTCATGAAACTAGACAAGATTTGTCTACTGCCTTGTCAGTTTCATTGAACAGGGATCCCTAGCGAAAGAAAATAATGAAAATTTTAAACAGTCAATGCTTCTTGTTTGCTCTCCACACAAGCAACATATTCTTACTTGTCCATTGTGTATCTCTCAGGGAGTTTCTCTAATTCTGGGGGCTTGTGCTTGTAAACATACAACAGAGTAGCTGGCAGCTCCCTGTACTGTCTTGATGACAGGCTCCTGTCACACCTTCAGTCACTGGGAGACAACAATAATGAATTGGTGGCAGGGCAGACTTTTCTTTGTAAAAGATGGTTGAATGAATCTGCTTCTCCGTTCAGGATGACCTGCAATCTGAAGTGCTGCTGTCGTCCATGCAACTCTCTCATCCCAGAATGCAAATAGGAGGTTGCCACTTTGAAAGCACTCCCATTAAAATCTCCCTGATTATAACCGAACATGTTAAAATTCCCATGCTCATAGAAAACTAGCAGGTCACACTTTTGTATGCATGGGGGGGGGAATGAGATCAGGGAACTTTTCGACAAGCTGTCCCCACATGATTCTGAGGTGGTACTGAGAGTAGTATAGGAGGACTGTTCTATGTGCCAACATGCATATATGAATCCACTGGAGTCCGCTTTATAGGTTACAGCAGCAGTTGCAAAAGCAGAAGTTCAGGTCACTTGACCCTCTTCTGCTTTCTGTGCTTCTGCTGTAATGTGCTAATCGGTTCTCATTTCTAACTGGCCGCTAGAGAACATCTAGTCCTAAAAGTAAACAAGGAGGTCAGGAAAACACCCTCAAAACCTGCACCAGCTTGTGTTCTTCATGAGGAGGCTGGAGCACTATGAGCATTTAGGGAAATCAGGCCTGAAATCACCTTGAGGAATCTCAGGTTCATGTGTATCACCACATTCACAACTTAACTCTTTTATTTGCTTTAAATGTCATGTCACCCCTTTCAGCTAGAATAGGAGAAGATGTTTTCTCCTAATTAGGAACATACAAAGGGACTATAGAAGCTGCCTCACATGTGGGCCGGCCTTTGGTCCATCTCACTCAGCATTGTCTACACTGACTGGATTTCAGCCGGAGTCTCTCCTAGCTGGCCTGGAAATGCCAGTGATTGAACCTGGGATCTTCTGTATGGAAAGCAGATGCTTTCCATTAACAGCTTGAAACTCCCCTCAGCCCCAGCCAGTGGGAGCTATAGTACAGCAACATTCAGGCACCAGGTTGACTGTCTCTACGCTACCGTTTCCTTCACTAGTCTGCCTCTGTTCTCCAATGAAACTGATAAGCTGTTTGGGAAAAGCTTTGTCAGTTTTATTGATTACCGTATCAGTTTTCTTGCTTGGTTAAAAGTATTACAGCAGCTCCCCATATTTAAGCTCTTACTTGGTAGTCCTTGGCAATAAGGAATCCCATGCCGGAGAGTGGATGGTCTGGTGAAAGAGGGATGGGGGGGCCTCTGCCCCTCCTCTACACCCAGCTTAGAAGTTAAGAGGGTTGACGAAGGCTGGTGCCTGTTGGGACCGGCAGGGAGCCCAAACAGTAGGTGGTTCTGGTTCTAGTGAGATGCAGAGCAAACTACGTAATTCTGGTTTGTCTCCATTCTCTTCTCTGCTGAGTTATGTGAGGGGCACCATTGAGACTGAGGAGGAAACTGATAAGCAATGTTACCTGCCTGGACTGGTTGTAAGTAAGAAGGCAGGCCAGGTAGGAAGGCTCAGGGCAGGCTGTGTTTGGTGGGGCAGCGCAGTGCCCTGCCCCAAGTGCCCTAACAGAGCAGCCTCTACTGGCTGACAGAAGGAAGCCCCCTCCTCCTCAAGATCCAGCATAGTAATACGTTGGACTGCTGGAAGGAGGATGGTGCTCTCCTTCCTCTGCTAGTAATATTTATTTCCAGCCTAGTAACTCTTATGTACTTATTCACAAGGCTGCATTACTGTTTGCACAGGGGCTAAGTGTGCATGCAAGCCTCGTTTTGAATGAGGAACAACAACAAAGGACCATCAGCTGAGCAGCAGTGGCGGGCAGCAGAGATAAGGGGTGGCTGGATCATGTTTTACAGGGTTGGTGAAATATCCTTCATCCTAATGCTGAAGCTTAGATGTTATGGGAGAACCACACTTTCTTTGTGATGCTAGTGCTGGGGCAGAAGGGGTGTGTGTAAATGTGCTTAACCCTTCTCCTTTCCACAATTTCTTCCTTTCAAATGAAACCCAGGCAGTTAAAAGCAAAAGAAACTGGTTTAAATAAAAATTATTTTAAATATCGTTTACCCAGAAAAAACTCTTCGCACTTTGTGCATATTTACATGCAGGAAAATACTGATGAGATCAAACTTTAAAAAAAAGCAGTCATACAATATATATATATATATATATATATATATATATATATATATATATGATAAAATCAGGAGTTTTTAAACAAATACACATAATTGAAAATGAGCCTGTTGAGGGAAAATGGGTGTTGGGTCACTTACAGGGGGAAATTAGCACCAAGAAGGGAAAACATACCTGCACCTGCACATTCTCCATCATCTCTGTATCTGCAGGGTTGGAACCATGCATTTTCCAACATAATGTCTTGTTCAGCCCTTCGGATGACAGGAACTGTGGATTAGGCTCTCCTTTTGGCTACGTGCTGGCCCAGTCTAGTTGGAGAGTTAGTTGGGTTGAGTGACCCAGATGCTACCTTTAGTTATTTTACATCTCAAGACGGTTCTGTAGTGTTTATTCATCTGAGATGACATTTCTTTCTTTTTTTAATGGGAAAAATATTTGTGTAAAGAACATTGCTGTTCTTGGCATCTTGAGTGCAAAAATGTTCAGCAAAGTCATTTCCCTTGGACAATTAATTTGGGTGGTGCTGCAACAGACCTGAAGCCCCTGTTTAATCTTTCACAATATGTTTTCTGCTTTCAGGAATACCAGATTAGTGGTCCCTGTTCGGGGGGGGGGGGGAGGGGATGGCTACTGGCTTTGTATATCTGACACCTTAGGAAGGACTATAGTTGCTACAGCCACTATACATAGAAGCTGAAACAAAGGGAGTGCATGTTGGCGTATTAATAATCAGTCTAATAATGCTATCAAATATTAAAAGGAAAACTGTTGATGGGCTGCCAAAATGAAACTGATGGAAGAGTGTAATGCCACTTTAAATAGTTATTGTGGTCCACCTACTATTAGGCACCTTCTGCTTGGGAACTTCAGATCTTGTAAAGTGATTTGTAAAAAGCAGACTAGCACTTGTTATATGATTACACAGCTAAGGTTAGGATTAAGTGTGGAGTGAGGAATCGCCTCTAGCCTCATCCCCTCTCAGGAAGCCCTGGAAATGCTCTGTTGTTTAGTTGTTCTGATGAAACTGGGTTCAAATCCTGAACCCATGCCGAAACTCCAGCTTCCCATCTGTAGAAATAGGGTGGAAATAACTGACCACACAAGATTGTTAATGAGGAAAAATGTACAGTCCTTTGCTTATAAAAAGCGCCTTGAGAATCTCAGCTGTAAGGAAATTGCCTTTCATATCTTGTGATTCCTAAAGTAAACTCTATATGTGGCAAACAATATAAATTGTGTGAATGACCCATATTTCATTGCTCATGTCTTACATAAACTCCTCTGGATTAGATGAGGTTATAAACAAACCCAGTCTAGAATCACAATTAGTGTAAACTGTGGACTCTACGCTGCTCATAAGGCAGCTGTTTGGGCATTTGAAAGAAACTGTTGCAAATTCTAGAGTTTACAGATGGAGGAGTTTACAATTCTGAAGATCTGTTACCAGGATGACAGCAATGGTAAATGCTAATTGACAGTTCATGGGGTTGCAACCTCTTTTTCCCACAGTCACAAAATCTGCTGACAAATCTGATAAATAACCCTACTTCATCATCAGAAAAGCTCCTAAGAGCTTGGGACATCTCCAGGGTCCTTTGATAGTTCCTTCTAGGACTTAGAGCTGCCTCTCATCCAGGTAGTGGTGGAGGTGACTATTTCCAAGGATCTCTAGAAGACAGGTGATGATGATTAAATCAGTTTAAAGCTATAGTGAGGCATGGAGATGGAGAACATGTGGCCCTCTAGATGTTGGTCAGCAACTCCCATTGTCCTTGAGCATTGGCCAGAAGTCCAACAACACCTGGAGGGCCACAGGTTCCACTTCCCTGGTGTAGTGGACTGTGCATTGTTTCCATGGAAATTAATGGTTTAAACTCTGCAGCAAGGTTGTAAGGGATAGCTTTTATTTATCTATTTAAGAATTTATAAACCGCTTTACATTGGAACAACCAAGTGATGTATAAATATTTTGTATTTCCTTTAAATGGCATGACTCAGAACAGTTTTTATTTGAGTTTAGCAAAACCAGCACACACTCTTCACCATTTTGAACTGAAAGAGGATCCAGGACAAATTTGTCTTGCTTTGAAGGGGATTAATTTTACCCTTGACTTACAAAGGCACTTAAGGGAACAGCTGCTATTTCTCTTTCTTCTTTGAGAGAACTAGGTTATCACACCACACGTTCTGCACAACACCTCCCTCCAAATAATTGGCCACTTCCACATCCAACTTCTTTGAAATTCATTTATTATGAATTCCGAGCTGTAAATAGATAAAAGTGAACCAGCAGGGAGTTGTGGTTTTCTTTGCTTCTGGTTATGAATCCCCCCTTTTTTGCATTCAGTTGCATACTGAATCTCCAAGATGAATGAGACAACCAGATAAGGTCTTTGCCAGATATGAGGAATATGAACTAATGACATCCTGCTTTTTGTTTACTCATCTCAGAGCACCAAAGTTGGTAGGACTGCACCAAGACAGCATCCTGAGTTGCATGGCTGTGTATCAGCTTCTGAACACACCTAGGCCAGGACTGCATTCAGAAAGCACTCTCTTCTGCTTTCCTGACATTTACTCTCCTGATATTTTTATTTTATTTTATGTGACCTTTCACATGACATAAAAAACCGCTTATGAAAAAAACTAGCAGAATCTTAAGGAAACTTAATACTGATTTCTGTGTTAATTGTTTCCAGAAAATAAATCTGTTTGCAAACCTATTATCCCGGAATATTGTGGGGCAAAATTTGGGGCAGTGTCCTTGCATATACTTTTTTCCCTGCAGTTTTCATTGGTGAATCATGGGGGAACAAACACACACATTCTCATAGAGGGTGGGAGGGTATGGTGCATGTCCAATTATGTCTGCTGTTGTAACACACCACAGCTACTGGCATGTATGTAATTTAGTGCAACATGACAGTAAACAATCAGGTAATGCAGTGCAAAAAGAACGTTGGAAACGGGAACAGAAACACGAGCATTGTAACTATTTCTTTACTTACTTACTTACTTACTTACTTACTGCCCTTCATCATAAGATCTCAGTGAGGGTTTTCCTAAAATGGGTATTTTTGGAGGTGGGGTGTCAAATCCTGCCCAAAACTATCCATTGACCCTGAAAGCTGAGAAGATACTGTCCTACTTGGAGGGGATTTGTACAAATCCAGGGTTTCCTCAGGCCTACTGATACCTTCCTGTTGTGCATGGGTGATGCAGCTTCAGCTGCATTAGTATAATAGTGGAAAATAATACATGATTATTTTAAAATAACAATGCTGCTTTGAAAAGCGGCAAGTGAACTGGTGTATCTTGAACGGGAAAGGGGTTGTTGTTGGGTTTTGTTTTGTTTTTTTGGTCCAGAGGGTAAGAATGCTGATTGAGGCATTGTACTTTCAGCTTCTGAGAACATATGATTGAGCCCTCCACTAATTAGTCAGCAAATACCAGAGATGAAATTTAGGGAATTTCTTCCAAAGTATGTTCACTGACCTGCCGGTTAATGATGGAGTTATTCAAGCCCAGTTGCTTAACTTTTCAGAGGAGAACTGTTGTGTCATCGCAATGCTCTGGTTCCATTCTTTCCCCCCCTTTCCTTTTCAGGAATCAAAACTTGAGGATAGAGCAATAGGTGAATTAAAACAATAAACAACTGTGCATACAGTTTGATGGCACCTTTCAGCATCCTTGCTGGGTTTTCTGGAAACTCTTGTCACACAAATGGGAATAATGACTAAATACTGGGCTTGATCTAAGTTAGTTGAATTTGGGTACCTTGGGACAAGTTAGTCATGATTTACGGTAAGTCCCATTGATTTCATGACTTAAGTCATGACGAGCGTGTTTCAATGATTTCAGCGGGAACCACCTGAAACCGGTTTAGTCTGGATCCATCTCCAGGATGGCCAATTGTGTATTTCCAAAATAAGAGAAAATGTGCCCCCACCACCTAAAACAAAAAGTACAATTTTGCATAAAATTTGTATGTACATATGCAAATTTAGAAATAGTTACTGCAGTTTGAACTGAAATACAATACCAGAGTAGGAAAGATTATGACAAGGGGATCTGTTTGCCTACTCCATCTGCTATCCAGATACTGTTCGTTGCCAGTTTCAAGACTCCTGCTCTCCCTTGTTACAGTTCTTTTAACTTTAGACTACACAGGTCTTCACATAGAGAACTGTCCTCTGTAAAGCAGGGCGCATGGCCACCCTATCTAACTCACAGAGACTTTCTGAACCCCACATTGTGATGGGGCTGTTTATTCCCATCTGTTTCCCTTATGCAGTAGCTATGCATGTAAACTGGGTCTTCGGCTGTGAGTTCAGATCTTACCTCAACCCATACCCTTGATGCCTTTCTATAGAATGGTGCCAATCAAAACAGCATTTGCAAGAGGTACCTACTTAGGGAGGAAAGGTGAGGTGAGGATTGTAAAGCACATTACACATTTATTTTTTTTAGAGATGCTTGTTCAAAGATCAAAACAGAAGTCTCCAAAGTAAGTAGTTTTGGTTTCTATTCATGCTGTTTATCCTTCCCTCAAAACATAGTCTTAAGTTTAAGTGTAGATGCTTGGATTAAAACTTTAAATTCTCGTTTGGGCATTTGGACCTTTGTCATGACAATTGGAGTGCTGTTGTTTAGGATGCTAGCCATCTGTGCCCTATTACAAGTTACCATTCCAGTATTCCTCTCATTGTTTTTGTCCTGCAACAGTCAGCCAGAATGCTGAATCATTGTTGAACTGTTTTGCCCACTCCAGGTTTCCCCCGTTTCCCCCCTACTTATGCAGTCTTTGGGGGTTTTATTGGCCCCGACTACTTTCCTCTGGAAGGTTGACCATGTCCAAATCTTGCCCTTGGGTTTTAGGATGTTCCTCATGCCTGACATACAGAATATAGAAACCTGAAGACTGAACTAGAAAAATCTTGGATGAAATTAAGACATTCCTGTCCTCTTTTTTTCCTCAGGTCTGATCATGAAACTCTAGATTTTAGGAGCAGCATATTTAGCAACTGTAGTTTTAAAGATGCTTTCTTATAAAGTTACTATTTCATTCATGGATAATAAACAAATGCTGAATAATATTGCTGGAGCTATCCTTTGGTCCTGCAGTATGCTTATTGTTATTGTTACAAGGATTTAAATCTCTTATCTGAAAGTAAAATTATTTTGAAAATAGAAAGCACTTCATGTATAATGCAGGTATATTGAAATGTGCATTATACACCCACTTTTGATATTTACTAGTTCATTTCTTTGTTTTGGCTATTAAGGCATGGATATTACTGGGAAATAAATCAATATGGTTTCTTTGTTTAGATGGCGGCAGAAAAGAAATCATGCTGTTAATACGTACAGGTTGCCCGATTATTTCTCTGTTGGATTTGTTCTCTGCATTAGTTCCCCAGGATTTGAGAAGGAAAAAGACTGTAGCTCAGAGGCAGGGCACCCTCTTTGCAAGCAGAAGGTCCCCAAGTTCAATCCGCTCCATCTACCGTGGGTGTGTGGGTATGTGGGTGTGTGCTAGTAAAATCTCTTGTCTGAAACCCTGGAGAACTACTGCTTGTATTTGTTGAGTAGCTGTGGAGAACCTTGAAGTTAAAAGGTCATTTCCCTGCTTTTATGGTAACATTTTCAGGGTAGGATGAGTTATGGACTGGGCACTGCTTCCCATCTCTCCTCCTTGTTGTAAGTGAAGGAAAGAAGGTCTAACAAAGCATATTTGGAGAGAAAAAAAATCTCCCTGGCATACATCCACACTATACATTTAAAGCATTATGCCACTTTAAAGAGTCATGGCTTTCTCTAAAGAAGGGTGTAGTTAGTTAAGGGTGCTCACAGTTGTTAGGAGACCCCTCCCCAATACACAGAGCCACAGTCACCCAAATGGTTAACAATCAATTCTTCTTCCCAGAGAACCCCAGGCATTGCAGTTCTGTGAGGGGAATAGGGGTCTTCTAATAACTCGCAGCACTTTTAGCAGTTCCCAGCATTCTTGGGGGCTGACCTGGCTCTTAAACCATAGTTTAAGTAGTTATTTATGTGTATAGTGCATATGTGGCCTATGTGAGGGTGTAAATACTTTACCTTCCGCTGTATAAATTTATATGTGTATATATGTACTTATAATCTCCTGCAACCCCCACCCCCCCGGGGCGGGAAGCACTTGGATCAAAGTATCAGTAAGGCCAGACACTCTGAAAGCAGTCAAGTGAATAATAATCTCTAAACTATCTTGTGGCTTTTTATTTTCTAGTAAATCAGATAGAACGGGTGGAAACATTTCCAAGTATTTTGTGTTCGTGAGTTGTCTAACATGTCAGTCTATTAGCTGGCTAAAAAGTGAGGGACAAAAAACGGTCAAATCCCCATTTTGAAAGATGTGAGTGCTACAGACTTTGAAATTAACGACTCACAAGTAGCTTTCCCTGCTTAACTTCCTATTTTTGAAAGAAACAACACAGCCACACACACAACCACAGTCTTTTAATATACCCTGACGTATATTGTCACCAAAACTGGATGATGATCAAAGTGAAAACCTTTTATGTGGTAAAATTCAAAGCAGAAGACTGCGGTAGTGATTATACCAGCGTGAAGCTTTATACTGTAAAACGTTCTCAAAGTAGAATCACGAGGAATGCAGGAACGTAGTGCATCGTGTGGAGAAAGAGGTTAGATATATTTTCTCTCTCTCTCTCCCTTTTTCTCATAACACTAGCACTTCTGGACCTTTAACGAAGCTGAATACTGAAAGGTTCAGTCCAGACAAAACCAAGTATTTCTTTATGCAGTACATAGCTAGATGTGTGGAATTAGCTGTTGCTGGATGGCCATCAGCTGTAAAAGACAATTACAATCCATTGAGGATCAGACTTTTGACGGCTCCTATCCACTATAAGTTTGCTTTTCCTCCACTGTTGAAGGTAATGTGCCTCTGAATATCAGTTGCTGGGAGGAGTCAGAAGTGGGGACAGTTGCTGTTGTACTCAGGCCTGCTTGCAGGATTCCCAGAGGCATCTGGGTCATCCTTGGGGAAATCAAGATTCTGGACCAAATGAGCCTTTGGCCTGATTCCACAGGGCTCTTCCTATGTCCCTAACAAGAGTTTGTTTCTGCCCAGTTCAGCTGTGATTGTCAATTTAAAGAGCAAGCTGGTTACAAAGTGTGGGGGTCGGGGAGGATCTCAGGGGCTGATGCAGTTTTGGGGGTCCCTCAGGCTTGGGGGATGCTTAGGCATTTCCCTGCATGGGCTCACCTCCTGTCACTGCAGTCTGTTCACTTGTCCAATCTGTATTAGCTCTTGAATTCTCAGAGAGGACTGATAAGCCAGTAGTAATGGTGCAAAGGAGAAGAGCAGGACCAGGGGGCTCTGGGGGTTGCAGTGCTCCCCCATGGGGGCCTCAACAGCTGCCCAACAATGCCTGCCCTGACACCAGCCCTGGGAATGCTCTCAATCAATGTATTTAAAATAGATTTTTACCATATCCGGGTCATAAAAGTCTCTCATTCTGTTCCGTGCCACTGTACAGATCAGCTCTGTCATCTCTGACAATATTGATCATCCACTCAGAAAGTGAGTAGTTCAGCTTCCCTCCTCCAGTCCTCCCTCAGCCTGACATGATCAGCACCATCAGAGAGCTGCTGTTATTGATCAGTGATCTGTGCATATTGCAGGTGCCCTACAGCTGAGACCCATCCCTCGGTGATTCAAGATACATGGGGCCTTCCCTCAATTGCAGGCTGCTTGGAAAAATCATTGTGCAAATCCTTGTTTCTGTGCATGGATCCCTGTTCCTGGACCAGGGCCAAATAATAGTAGGCAACAATTGCTTTACACTATGGGAGGCTCCAAAAGCATCTCAACCTTTGTTTAATCTTCTCTCAGATGGAGGAGCTAGAGTCATTTAAGATACTTACATTCAAATTTACTAAAAATATAACTAAATGAGTTGTTTCACTTTCTTATAACAGGTGAAATCTAGCCACATATTAAAACTGCTTTGAAAATTCTTTTTTTAAAAAAATGTTTTTAAAAATGCTTTGAATTTTCCATAAGGCTCACCATCACTATCTAGTGTCACATTGTATATTGTACTTAAGACACACATAAAACATTTTATTTGCAGCTGTATAGCTGAGTCTGCTGTCTTTCCCCTAAGTTAATCTTCAAAACCATCCAAGTTAGGCTACAAGCTTCATTCATGGCCCTTGGTGTGTCTTTGGATCTGTGGCTGAAGACAGGAAATGGCACATCCATTATTAAGTATTCATATTGATTTTAACTGTATTTGTGTTGATTCATTTATTTCTTGTGTTGTATTGCAATTTGAATTCCCTAAGAAATTAAAGAAACAACAAAATACATTTAAAAATCATGCAGCATCAAGCACAGCACATTACAATTGCTACAACAGGCACAAAAATCATTAAGTGGTCTGTCAAGACCCCCAGCAATTTTCAATTTTGCGGGGGAATCTCTGCTTTAAGAGAAATCTATAAGCACCATTAAAACAACTACAGCTTGGTGTCCCCAAATCTGTTCACTTTTAAAACCCTTTTCTCCTATTGCCAGCTGGTCATTTTGTTTTCCAACCACAGGTGTTGAAAACTGCAGCCCATTTCCTTTTGATGGTTGTGGTTAGTTGCACACAACAAGTATCTTATTGTGGGTTTGGTGTATTTTTTTTTAAACAAAGACCTGCTCTATTGCCATTCACTTTACAAAAGCAAAAATAAAATTGTAGAACAAGAAAGCCGTGTGTGTGTGTGTGTGTATAAAAAAAATTAAGAGGACTTCATTGTTCTTATCTGAATTCATATCCTGTTTAGGATGCTGTGTGTGTGTGTGTGTGTGTGTGTGAGAGAGAGAGAGAGAGAGAGAGAGAGAGAGAGAGAGAGAAACCCAACAAAATAATTACTGGAGCATTGGGTGATATCCAGCTGAGTCATAGGTAGAACAGACCCATTGGGTATATTCTGAGCATGACTAATGTTGGATATCATCCATTGTTTCTCTCCCTCCACCCCCTTTGATAGTATCCAGAAACAAAGATTCTTGGATGGAAAGTTCAATAACAGAAGTAACTGTTCACGGCCAAAGTGATGTCCACAGTAAAATTAGCTTCAGACATCCATTTTGAGAGTGTGTGGTTGCCCTCCCTTTTGCTGCTTGTTCTTTATTCTTTATTTCTAGGAACATTAAGAAACTGCTCCATACCAAGTCACACCATTGGCCCATCTAGCCCAGTATTGTCCGCACTTCCTGGCAGTGGCTGTCCAGAGTTTGAGACAGGAATCTTTCCCAGCTGTGGCTGGAGAGATCTTCCTACGACCTATGTTTGAGTTGACACCCTTCTCCAGTGTTCAGTTCTGATAAGTACAAAATCCAGTAATGCTTTGTGCTTGGTTTGTTTAAACAAATAGGCTATGATGTCATTCATATATATATATTCCATTTTCTGCAGTCATTATTGTGTCCAGAAGGGAACTCTTTTAAGAGTTTCTGTAGCAACGTAATGCAGCTCATGCAGATGTAGAGAAAGAAGAAAAGTTCAGAGGGAGCTTATCAGAAATGAATCTGAGTGAGACAGCAATTTTAAGAGTAAATTATTTGGAAGTATTGGCTTCTGAAGGAGGAGTTCTGAGGAAGCAACAACACCCCCCTCCCTTTCAGCATCATTTTATCAATTGTTACAGCAAAAGCACTTCCATGGAAGCCTGTACTAACGGTTCCAAGAAGTGCTTGTTGACGTGCCTGCATCCTGAGGCAAGGGCTGTTGGGAGGGTCCAAGGCAATGGGCCTATCACATCTCAGCTGGAGTCACTTTGAACAGAGTTCAAAGAATTTCAAATTCTTTCCCTTCAGTCCTTTGCGTGTAAGACAAATTCAAGAGGCAAAGGTATTTCTCAGATGTGGAAGTGTGAAAGAAAGCTTTTCCTATTGAATTTCTGCGTCCCTCAAATACAGTAAAGCCTATCAGATATAACAGTGGCAAATTTAAGGAGGAGCTGAGAGCTGATGTATATTGTATTACACAACCCTGTGAAAAACTAAAAAGAACACCCACAAAACCTAGATAAATATACTTTAAAATATTCTGCAGTAAGCTTCAGAATAGCAAGTTTCTTAGCAGAAAGCTATTACATACCAAAACTCTCCACAGACCTATGTATCTTTTTTTGCTTTAAAAACGAAACAGCTTATTGGGGGTTTATTCCAGATACTTATGCTCTGTAATTAATGAGAGGGTTTGTTTTAACTCTTAGCATTCTGTTCTGTTCTGTTCTATTCTATACTTTATTTATTTATGCCTGGTAGCAAATTTACAGAAAGCAACAGGAGGGATTTTTCAAAGTAGCTGAATGTTGTTTCTATGTATGAATGTGTGGATAAATGTTCTCTTGGCTAGTCCTTGTGTGAGTAAGCAGAAATAAATATATCTTTTTTTATTTCTATATCGCATATGATACTGAAAGGCTCTAAACATGGGGTGAGGAACCTTTGGTCTGCCAAATGTTGTTATTTTTTTTATTTTTTTTTAAATAATTTTTTTTTTTAATTAAAGTTTTAAACAAAGAGAAAAGAAAAAACAACACACACAAAAAAACAATACAAAATTTAACAATAAAAACACACAACATAACAATTTAAAACAAACTCTCTTTTACATTCCCAATTTTGAATTACTTATTTTCTGGACTTCCTCATACCTCCCTCTTTTGTATTCCAATCTACATTATTTGTCCAGCAATTTCTTTTCCACTTTTTTAAACCCAATCTTTAATTTAATAAAATATTAAACTATATAACATAAACATAATCCTTGTTCTTAATGTCATATACCTTTAAATTTTCCCAATCTTAATCTTTAATCTTAATCTATCCTAGCTTTGACCTGTACAGCTGGAAACCACTTATTTTCAATCCAACATCACTCTAACATTCCTTAATTTTGCAGTATTTCTGAAGATAGTCTTTGAATTTCTTCCAATCTTCCTCCATCGACTCTTCTCCCTGGTCACGGATTCTGCCAGTCATTTCCGCCAATTCCATATAGTCCATAAGTTTCATCTGCCATTCCTCCAGCGTGGGAAGTTCTTGTGTCTTCCAATACTTTGCGATGAGTATTCTTGCTGCTGTTGTTGCATACATAAAGAAAGTTCTATCCTTTTTAACACCATTTGGCCCACTATGCCCAGGAGAAAGGCCTCTGGTTTCTTGGGAAAGGTATACTTAAATACCTTTTTTAATTCATTATATATCATTTCCCAGAAAACCTTAATCTTTGGGCACGTCCACCAAAGGTGAAAAATGTACCTTCAGTTTCTTTACATTTCCAACATTTGTTATCGGGCAAGTGATAAATTTTCGCAAGCTTGACTGGGGTTATGTACCACCTGTATATCATTTTCATAATATTCTCTCTTAAGGCATTACATGCCGTAAATTTCATACCAGTGGTCCATAACTGTTCCCAGTCAGCAAACATAATGTTATGTCCTACGTCCTGTGCCCATTTAATCATAGCCGATTTTACCGTTTCATCTTGAGTATTCCATTTCAGCAGCAAGTTATACATTCTTGACAGATTCTTAGTATTGGGTTCTAACAATTCTGTTTCTAATTTCGATTTTTCCACCTGGAAGCCAATTTTCCTGTCTAATTTAAATGCCTCCATTATTTGATAATAATGAAGCCAGTCTCGCACTTTGTTTTTTAATTTTTCAAAACTCTGCAATTTCAGTCTATCTCCGTCTTGTTCCAAAATTTCCCAATATTTCGGCCATTTGACCTCCATATTGACCCTGGTCTGCCAAATGTTGTTAAACCCCAATATCTATCAGCCCCGGCCAGCGTGGTCATTGGCCAAAGACGATGGGAGTTGTATTCCAGAATGATCTGGAGGGCAAAAGATTTCCCATCTGTAGTCTAAATAATTGACTATACGTGTAAAACATGTACAGTAATGCTTAGGTCTTGCTCAGTATCCAGGCTGTGAAAATTGTTACAGCATTTCCACAACAGATAGAACATTGAAAGCTGGTATTTCCATATTTGAAAATGATGTGATTAATACAAATTTTGAAAATGGGACATTTTTGCCTCTTACCACAGTGTTTTGTTTTAATTGTTTCATTAAGAAATGTTATAAACCACTTACTCATATAATCCCTAAGTACATAGAATTATCCTAACAATTAATACTATATAAGTAAGGGCTTATATCTGAAGTAGCACCATGTTTCTTGTTAATGCAAGGATTTAGCCTTGGGTTAGAATAATAGCACATACAGAGCATATTAGTCTTCTTTTGTTTTTTAAAGCAGGTTACAAACATTGATGTCTCTTGCATATTATTAACTCCAGCTTGGTCCAAGAGGAGCAGGATGAAAGGAAAAATATTCCTGGTTATGGAATCTGAGGCTTGGGGGGGCAGGGGGGTGTTGATTATTGACCAGATACACTGACCACACTATATTGCATGTTTTACATAGTACAGCCATGTTCCTTGTACCTGATATTATTGTGGGATTTTTCTCTTCCTCGTATCATTAATGCAATGAGGGGTATTTTCTTTTCTTTTTTTAAACAACTAGCTATTTCAAGCTTGTTATTTCCTTGACCCTCAAGACCAGCTTGCTGTTGTTTGTTGATGTGATTTCTATAGTTACACTGGCAGAAATATGCTGCCTTTCTCATTTGGGCCCCTCAATTCCAGAAATAGCTAGATAGAGCAAAGTGTTAATAGCTGGCGACTCTAGACATGAGTCATAACCATGGTGGCTGTGATAGCAGTGGAAAGATGGTATTGATAAGGCTCCAGAGTGTATCTTTAATCTTTAGGTGTCAGTTACCTAACCTCCTTGTTAGGTACTGGGAGATATCTGTGTCTTGGAGGAGACAGAGGCACAGGTATGGTAAGACAAGGACTCACATGACACCAGTAGGAGGATCAGGTAAGCTGAGGTGGGTGGGAGAAAGCAGAATCTATACCAGAGGTGGAGGTATGAAGATAAGCCTCTGACCTGCTCTGAAAATATGCTAGCCTGCTTTCTCCAGATTTTTACCTCTTAAGTCACTTTACGCTTGAATGTGTCTACAATTGCTAAATGTATGGCTGGTTTTGCAGAAAAGCCAGGGGGCCATATGCACTATACATTTAAAGCAGAATTAAATGACTTGAAACAGTCGTGACTTGCCCAGAGAGTTCTAGGAACCATAGTTTGTTGAGGGTGATTAGAGTTGTTAAGAGACCACCCCTCACAGAGCTACAATTTCCAGAATGGTTTAGCAGTGAGTCTTGTCTTCCCAGAGAGCTGTGGGAATTGTAGCTCTGTGAGGGGAATAGGGGTCTTTCAACACCCTTAACAAACTACAGCTCAGGACTCTTAAATCTTAGATTAACACCATGGCCATTTAAAGTGGTATAATGCTGCTTTAGGTATATAATGCATATGGGGCTCAGATTTGAACCACAATAAAATGACTGTGGATAAACAACAGCTCTGCGGACTTTCCCTCAACTATAAGTGGCCTTCTGGACCAATTTCAAAATGGCAAAAGCTTATGAAGGAGCTAGGATGTCACTGTGGACCTGTGATTAACATGCATACAATTTGACTTTACCTCAAAGATCCTTTTTTTGCCAATTGTTCAGTGAAATAAGTACACCCCTCCCCAGCAAGCCGCCGTCTGAAAGTGGATGACAGATTTCAGTCTGCCTCAGCTGCCTATTTGGAAAGCATGCTGGCCTTGGGCAGGGGAATTTTTTTTGTGAGGATTAGGCTTTGAAGCTTTTCTTTTAAGAAGCAAATTGTTGCTCAGAAATCTGAGGTTTTAATCCAGGGGACTTGTATGCATCTTTTGTTGTGGAATGTCTGCAGGTAGAGAGGGTCTAAATTAGAATGCTGTGAGAATTGTCTATGATAGGACAAATTATTGTGAGAACTTCAAAATGATGATTGCTTTCTGTTTTGAAGAGGATAGCACACGTGTGAGACCAAAAGACACTGTGTGTTTCTCGCTGGTTGCAGCTAGACTTGCGACACATAATTGCAAAAGGTCATGTTGTCCATAGATTGCTGGTAGATAGCAATTGCAGAGAAGCTTAGTCATCATCACATTGGTGTCATCAAAGGCCAACTAAATCAGAATTGTTCACCACTGTTTGGAGTAACTTGGTTTCTTATATAAAGGTGAATAATACAATGAAACCCCTCCCAAAGTACATTTCAGTTTGAAAAAAAATATTAATAGCAGGTAAGGTCGCAAATAGAAATTATGAAGATCAGGGTTAATGTATGGTCTTGTGGGCAGCAGCATTGTAATTTGCAAATCTTGGTTCACAAAAGGGGACTGAAAAAAGGCCTGTTAACTGAAACAAGAGAGAGAGAAAAGTAAAGAGAAATATGATGATATTTTGTTGCTGAGCTGTTTCTTCATGGTTCCTGATTATTAGTATTTCTAAACAATTTTTGGGGGGGAATAAAATATTGGTGTTTATTTATTTATTTTAGTTGTTATAGAAGTACTTTACCACCATATCCGAAAGTACCAGGGCAGTGCACACTGCTAAAACATAACTAAAAAAAAAAAAGGTTTGCAAATGCTACAAACAAAATATCCAACTTAAAATACTCAAACAGACAAGAGGAGAAAAAAACCAAGATAATAAAATAACCATATTATTTTTAAAGGGTTTAAAAAGAATGAATAGTGTAAAATATATTCCATGGTGTACAAAACATATCAAGTAATCACAAATGTTGCCAAATAAAATCATATTTAGTAGGAATGTGCCAACCATGTGATTGGTTTGGTCATATAAATCACAAACAACCCCCAAACTCAAGCAAAGTCGGAGGGGTCTGCATTGCCCTTGGCCCCTGGTATCAGTTTTCAAAAATGGCAAAAAAATGACTTTTTAAAACAGTAAATCCACAGAATAACAAGATACATCATTCTATCCTTGAGAGATCACTAAATAAGAGGCAGCTAGCAGATAGAGAATTAATTGTTGGCAATTAATAAAAAAAATAAGATGCTTGCCTCTGACTGGGCCCACTTCTCCACACCCCCTTCATTACTGCCCATTTGTTTGATTTCTTTCTCTAGGCCAAACTGGTGCCCTTCAAATATTTTGGACTACAGTTTCCATCAGTATAGCCAATTGTCAAGGATGCTGGGAGTTGTACTCTAACAAAATTGGGGGACCCCAGGTTGGAGAAGACAGATATAAACCATACTGAACTTAGATGGGCCTAAGATATATGGCCTCTTCGGTGACTGTGAGTTGTCATCAATATGAGTTAATCTGAATCAGGATGTTGTGAATTTGTAGTACAGCTCAAATAATAATTAAAAAAAAAGCCTGCCCAAACACTTTAGTTAAAAAGTCACCTTGATCCTGAAGGAGAATTTCTTTTGTCGAAATGGAGCAGCTTCAATCTAGAGTTGTAGGTGGGCATTTAGCTGCATAATTTGTAATGTTCTTTTTAAAGAACTGAAACCTGCGCTAGCAGGCTCTGTTAAATGCCACTAACTGCTTTAAAGGTTAATGATCCAAATACTCTCTTGCGTTGTGCTCTTTACTCAGAATACCTCTTTGTTTACTTCCTTTTTTCTGTTGATTTAGTTATACAAAACGAGCACTTGATTTGCTATTACTTGTTTATAAAGCCTGTTCCTCTCTGAGGGCGGCTGCTGTGCTGGTTGCGTTGGTGTTGCTGTTTACCTCTGATCTTACAAAGAACACTAGTGTAGCACCCTGTATTATTCAGTGAAGGAATCCTCTGTTTTATGGGTGGCACTGAAAATGGGACTGCTGCATTGATATGGTGGTATTGTGGTGAAATCACCATGAGTTGGCTGTTTGGGTGTGGTGTTCCGTCTTGTGAGGACTTCTGCCTGTTTCTGACACATGTCAAGTTCAGGGTTAAAAACCTCCTGGAAAATCTTTTTGAGCTGTGAGCTGAGACTACACAGGGTTGTGAGTCATTATTTAACCTTCATGGGATCAATCATCATGTACAGTCACCCGTTATTTAGCACCCAGGGCCTTGAGCTCTGTGGGGAAGCCCCGCTGGTGGTTCTGACATTTACAGAATGCTGTGGGGAACATGAGGCCCAGGGCACCCCTGAACCTTCCCCAGGCTACACCCTTTACTGGCCCTGCTTTGCACAGCAAACCAATGGCAAAACGTGGTTTCATTTCATTTATAGAGGGTTCTGAAAGGGTGCAGAAGTGCCCTATGGCAGGTAAACTTGGAATACCTCAAGCAACAGTGTGTGACTGTGCGTAAGTAAAAGTGACTTTGGGGAGAGGTAAGAAAGGATAATACAGAACAGTCCTTTTGGTTCATTCATAGAATTCTAATATGTCATAATAACAAACTCTTTTGAAAATAGCCTTCTCAGCTAGATTGGATATGCAAAATACTTAAAAGTGGTGAAAAATAAATACATGTAAGCAACAGGATGTAAAGGAAGCATCTCTGCTTCTTTTTGTGTCCTGCAAATCATTCCTCGTGTTCACCTTTTTGTAATTTTGTTTCTTACTAAAATTCTTCCTTTCAAAAATTAGTGTGCATATATGTGATTGTTCTTCTGAAGTATTGAAGATAGTGATGCAACTTAGAGGACCATCTACCATGAGGAGGTCACTTTCACACTCACCACAATGTATCCCCAGTCACTGGAAGAGATATTATCATGGGCATTCTTCAGCTGCATAGAACAGTGACTTTTACCATGTCTCAAGAGGAACTGGAAATTGTGGCGTTAGCATGGTTGGGATAAAATATGCTCTACCACATAGCCATACAGGGGCTGTAGCAGGGGCTCCCAACCTTCTGGGGTCTGTGGGTACATTTGGAATTCCGAAAAAGTGATGTGGGCACCGCCACAAAATGGCTGCCGGTGGGAGCAGCCTTTCATAAAGTTGCTGCCTTGTCCTCTTTCTCAGAATCAAAATATTTCTCAGGATCACCTCCAAAACAATTTCCCCCCTCTCTCTGCAAGGATCAACCCCAAACTCTCTCTCTTTCAGAATCACCCTCTCCTAAACTCTTTGTCTGGATCACACACAGACCCCCCCCCCCTGGCACATAGGGCCTATCTCCTCAGATAATGTAGCGTGGGCACTCAAACTATAGCATTTACAAAACACCCATCATGTACTAAAGTGGTGTCTGTATCCACTGTCCAGTAGAGTTGTTTTTAAAATGACAGTGATGGTGCTCTTGGGAAGAAATCATTCTCATGATTTGTTCTCTTGTATTCTCTTTTACCCTATGTTTTTAAAAGAACAATCTCTTTTAGGTCTGCTAGGAAACAGCCAAAAAAGAATCCAAGAAAAATGATTTACAGTCTCTAAATTCAGAACTTCAGTGTCAGACTGTGTACACACAGCCAAGGTTTCCCCCCTCCCATATCTTGGGTGAATTACAAAAGTGGGCTGTAGTGGAGACCACCCCTTCCTTGCACAACTTTTATCAGCAGGCTTCTCTTTTATACATTTTGCCCTCCTGCGGGCCACCTAATGTTTCTTTCCAATTAGTCACCCAACAAGTAGTTTCTCCTCTCAAAAGCAGGCCCAGCAGACACAGCTATCTATCAAGTCAGACCAGCCCTTGCTAACACAATTGCAGGAAGTTATTCCACGTCTCAGACAATTCCCATTTCTATCTCTAGAAGAGCAAAAGGTCAGAAAACAGCAGGCAGTTGCTTTGCCAGCAATAGCAACATGGGCAGTTACACAGAACTCAACAGGGAGAGTATGTGGTAAGCGACTCTCTGCCCTCCCTCTCCCTGTACCCCCTCCCATCAACTTTCTCTTGCATCAACATGCCTTGAGTTCCAGCTTCCGTGTGCAGCAAAAACGCAATTCACACTAGGTTTCAGAATTGGATTATTTCAAGGGGTTTCAAAGTTAGGGATGGGTGGCCCAGGCAGTTGCCCAGAATACTGAGCTGGGAGTGGGTTTCAGAACATAAAAGGGACCAGTCAGTTAATAGTCCTGTTTTCCATTCAGATATCTCTGGAAAGACCGCAAGCAATCATGACCTCTTCCATCTTTGCTTCTCAGAAAATGGCATTCAGTGACATATTGCCTCTAAAAAATCACCATCCATGATGAGCATAGGTAGGGAATCCTTACACAGTGAGCCATAAAACTCAGATTCACCAGCTTTCCTTTCCTTTCCTTTTTTAAAGAGTATTTTAAATATTTCTAGCATTTGTAGAACCTGAGATATGAGGCAAAATGCACAGGCACTATTTATTTCAATTTTTTGTGTGAGAAGCTACCCTGGTCCCCTCCTCTCAGTGGTTTACTGTGCCTGCCCACCCACAAAAATTCCTGCAGACTCTTGTGCTCTGGGCTTCCGCATAATCATTGTTGCTTATAGCTGTTGATAGTCTTATCCTCAGTGAATTTAGAGTGTCTGCCTTAGGCTATCTACTAATCAGCTAAAGTAAATATACAAACAATTGATTTTCTCTTATAATGCTGGCACCACTGACCAGCATGACCCATGTTGCGATGACATTCACTGTCATTATTTCCAGGAAAAATTAAAACATAAATGTCTGCTCAACAAACGGTACACATCTGAGTGGTTTGGGCCAGCTCTGCATCTGAAGATTTTTTTTGCCTTGTAGGATACATCAGTCAATCAGCATGACAAAACTAGGAAGGTGATCACCCCACCAGTTGCTCAGTTTATCTTTGATACCAGTCTTTGCCAATCTGATATGCACCAGATGTTTTCGACTGCACCTGCAGCCAGCTCCAACCAGCAGTTCAGTGTGACTTACTTCTGAGTGGTCATGTACACAATTGTTCTGTAAATCTGTTAATCATTCAAGTTGCCATAAGATTATCTGATGGTTTTGGCCCAAAGAGACTAGTATATCTAAAGAGACTATCATGACCTCTCTAGAATGAATGAGAGAACTGTTTTGGGACATTATCAAGCAAATAGAAAAATAGGTTGACATGCCTTTGGAGACATAGCTAGGCTTATGCTCATTGAGGTTATTGTTTAATGATTAATTATGGAATTCACTGTTGATGATGATAAAAGTTGACTGCGTCGTCACCCCCAATGTCATTGAAATCCAGATGGGCATGTGGGATGCACATTATTGTCTTGCCAAAATGCTTTAAACATCTTCCCCCTGCTGGATAGCTCTGCGTTCTGCTTAGGTTAGAGGAAAAATTTAGAGGTCAGTGGTGAGAATAACAACCCTTTTTCATGTCCAGACTTTGCTGAAAGGTATGGTATGATCATTTTTAATATGGTGATTTTATACTTGCCTGGTGGTAGGGAGTGGAAGGATTTGTTTTTCTTCCTGTAAGTTTTTGTTTAATTTGTACTTTCCTCTAAACAACATCAGAGATAGCCATAACAAGACAACAAAATATTCACCTTTGTGCTGAAACTGAGGCATCAACTCCCACTGATTTACTTAACTCTCACTACCGCTGAAACTAAATGGGATTCCAGAGTGCTTAATTTTACTTTGTACCATTATTTATTTATTTATTTATTTTATTTATACCTTGCCTTTCTAGGATAGCTTTTAGGACAAGCCATCGAGGAGAACATTTTGTTGACTGCAATATAGAGAAGTAATTTTATTTGTAGGGGCAATTATGTTGTTCTCTTGTGGATGCATTTGTGGTATTCATGCTATTGTTGCAGCTACCATTGAAAACAAAGTAGATATTGACTTGAAGAGGCACTTTGGAGAGTTTTTTGGTTTCGTAATGTTCAGAATCTGATTGCCATTTTAAACACTAAGAAGAAATTTGAGAATTATAGGTCAGGTTGACTTTTAAGGCATCCAGCATTTCTATTTCAGTGGAAATATGGGCAGCTCTCTCCCCAAAACAAGAACAGGATGTGATGGGGGAGCCCCACACCAAGACAGGTCTGGGAGGGTAGGACAGGAGGAACCTGTGCCTTCTAAGCTAGCTTAATGCCCTCAGGTGTAGTGGGCTTTGTCTCATTACCATTGTGGAATCTTGCTTGTGCTCACCATACATTCAAAGCTCTGTGATACCACTTCAAATAATCATGGTCTGGCTTCCCTCAAAGAATTCTGGGAGCTCTAGCTCAGTGAGGTGTATAGGGGTCTTCTAACAACCCTTTGTACTCTTAATGAAATACAGCTCACATAATTCTTTTGGGGGAAGCTGTGGCTGTTTAAAGTGGAATCAAAGTGCTTTAAGTGCATGGTACAGTATTAATGTGGCCCAAGTCAGCTTAGGTTTTCTCCATGGAGTAGGGGAAGCTGGCACCATATTGTCTTGCACCTGGGCCGGTCCAGCAACCAGATGTGTTCACAAGGGCAGCTGTGGTCATTTCTTTGGTGGATGATTCAGTGTGGCAAAGGGCAGTTGGAAATAGTTACTTCCATCAGCTCCCACCAAAGTTCTTCCATGCTTTTCTGCATCTCAGTTCATTATTGTGTGGCGAAGATAAACTGCTGAAGTAAGTCAGCTCTTTGTACATTATCCATTAACAGATTTTGAGGGTTCATTCAAATAACTATCCAGTCCAACTGCATGCTATTTCATCTCTCTTACTCTGCAGCTCAGTAATGAAATTCTCACTTGCGTATCAGTTTATATTTTGCTGGTGCTGGAGCCTGAGTGGCAGAGGTTCTTCAGTAGTGCTCAACAATAGGTACCACTTAATGAAGCAGCCCAAAGAAACTGAATGCTGATGTGCTGCTTCTCATGCAAAACAGCAAGACTTTGCGGGGCACCCCAGTGAAACAAAGAACACTCACATCTATGGAATTCCACACGTGGCATATATTTTTCACAAAAGAGTAAGCTATTTCACACAGACATTTTGTCTGAGCGCGCGTGCGTGCACACACACACACACACACACACACGTGTGTGTTGGTGAGTGCAACGGGTGGGGAGAGAGATTCCCATATTGGAAAAAAAAATAAAATGCCTATCACAGATGGACAATCACATTGTATGTAGGGAGTTGGACAGTGTATATACAGTGGTACCCTGGGTTACAAATGCTTTGAGTTACAAACTCCGCTAACCCGGAAGTAGTACCTCGGGTTGAGGACTTTGACCCAGGATGAGAACGGAAATCGCACGGTGGCAGCAGGAGGCCCCATTAGCAAAAGTGTGCCTCAGGTTAAGAATGGTTTCGGGTTAAGAACGGACCTCCAGAACAAATTAAATTCATAACCCAAAGTACCATTGTATATCCGTTGAATTCTGTTTTTATCGATTTAGGGTTGCATCCAACTCAGAGTAGACTCATTGAAATTAGCGGATGTAAGCAAGTTAAGTTCCTTGCTATCAGGGGTATACCCTGAGTATGGCCAGTGGTGGATATCATATCACCCTAAGTAATTTAGATTGTAACTCATAATGAGCACAGAATCATTTTTTAAAAATGAATATACAGCACAATGAACCATTTACACAGATGGTTTGTGGCCCAGATATGTTTTTGTTTTTTTAATGTTCTGTCTGCTCTGTTATAGACCTATTTGTTTTAGCATTACAGTGGTACCTCGGGTTAAGTACTTAATTTGTTCCGGAGGTCCGTTCTTAATCTGAAACTGTTCTTAACCTGAAGCACCACTTTAGCTAATGGGGCCTCCTGCTGCTGCCGCGCTGCCGGAGCACGATTTCTGTTCTCATCCTGAAGCAAAGTTCTTAACCTGAAGCACTATTTCTGGGTTAGCGGAGTCAGTAACCTGAAGCGTATGTAACCCGAGGTACCACTGTACTTGATTTAAAGCATTTGTTGGCATTACATGTATGGATCTACAAGGGCTGCTTTGCCCTGAAATAATAGTTATTAGTGTCCAAGTAATAATAATACACCTGTATCTCAGAGGCACACCCACCAGTGCAGGAGGTATAAATGCAGATGAAACAATAGAAGGGTGATCCCTTTAGAGACAAGTCAGAATGTACTTCACAGTTTATTGAAAGTGAGAGTGAGACAGAGAGAGAAAGAGATCCAGCATCGCTAATTGATGACAAAACAAATCAAAGTGACAGAATCCTTCAGGCGCTATAAAAAAGACCATCCAGTTATTTCCAACTCAAACACAGTAATAAAGGGGGTGGTCTCTTTTGCATTGTTCAAAATAGTAGAAATGCATGAATATCCCACCCCCCAAGAGGATACTTGGTTGCATAAAATTTGTGTGTTTGTTTCTGAATTTGCATTTTTACATATACATTGTTATTATAATTTAAGTAGAAATGTAATATATCTCACTATAGTGGGGAAACTGACCTTTGTGCTCATTCAGTCTGCTGTCCCGGTGCAAACTTTTGATGGGTAAATTTAAGGCCCCACCTGCTGTCCGCCTTTGTGGTTCTTGGTCTTTAAACTACTTGGTCCATCAAATACAAAACTGCTTTAAATATCCTCTTACTACAATCCTTAAAATTAGAGGATTGGCCTCTGAAAAGTAGACTATTATCAAAGCAGTTTACAGCAATAAAACATACAACTGTACAATAATACCATATTAAAAAGTTAAAAACAGACAACAATTAACCATTGAGGAAGGATGTATTCTTGATTGCCTGCATAGGCCTGGTGGAATAGAAAAGCTTTCAACAGGCATTCAAAAGTTTGCACAGAAGGTGCTTGCTGAATTGCTGTTGGCAGAGTATTCCACAGGACTGGGCCAATGGCACTAAAGTTTCTCATTGTTGTCAAATGAGCCTCACCAACATAGGAAACGACCAGTGGAAGCCCCCTGCAGATGATCTTGGTGATTGAGCTGAAATGGTACTATGAACCTGAGTTGTTCAGGGCTTTGTAAATTCATACAAGAACCTTGAGTCTTGCTTGGTAGTATTGGATTCCGAACTCGCAGTTTCCCTGACCGATTGGATTTTCTGATGGGGCTGATGGGAGTTGGAGTCTGTCAGACTTGAAGGGCCGTAAGTTCCCTATTCCTGTCAACACAGAAATGTTCAGATGGATTTGTTTACAAGCAGCCACTCCATAGGAGGCGAAAAGGTGACTTAACTTGTGCCAATCACACATTCTCTAATTAGCACCCATAGAGCAGAATTTAGAGGATCCTGGGAGGAAGGAGATGGCGTGGAAAACCCATTTAGTGTTTGAGGAGGAGTTCCTTGAGCTTCATTAAGATAACAGTTCTACCGTTATTCTTTTTTAAGAACAGTATTTTGGGGGTGACTCTTGCAGACAGCCTCTTTGCCCAATTTCCTGTTTATGTTCCTTTTAGATCCGTGCTTTACCCTCATGTGAGATTAGACAGTTTAAGATGGGCTGTATAACTGTTGGCTGTTTTCCCCTGACAGTTTGCTCAGTTAAGAAGACAAAACAGCAAAGAAAGAGAGACTTGCAGGTATAGAGCGGCATACAAATTTAATAAATAATAATAGAAAAAGTACCCTGTTTGCTTAGAATGTTGCAAGAGATAGCCAGAATGAAGTAAAACCAGTTAGCCAAAGGGATATGCCACCTGCATTGCTTCTCAACCTCTTAGTATCAATGCAACCAACATCTGTGTTTATGATCACACATAAACTGCAAGAAAAGGGATTAGTTGACATAAACTGTTTTGTTTTTGCAAAAGTATGTGTGGGGGTTCCGTTTGGAATCTTTCCATAAAAGCTATTAGTTTAATAAACCTTCTCAATACTTTTCAAAAAATTAACTGAAGCTGCAGTTATTTTGGTGTTGGCTATGTGCATTTGTACTTAGCACACCTGGGATGAGATACATGTTTAGCCAGTCTGATATAGTAGTTAAGCCCAGTAATGTGGAAGATTTTGAACTGGGAACTTTTCATAGGGTAATTTTCTTGGGAAATAGCCTGATGCCCTGGAACGTGATCTGATTTAGCGTGTTATTTTACTTGGATCTGGTAAAACTAAAAACTGTGAAACCGGCATCTTTGCCTAATACTGTATTTGCAATTGCAATTCATTTATTGTTTCTAGAGAACTTGCAAAACAGAAACATTTCTGTGGGACAATTAAGCTCCCATATTTTTTTCACATGAATATTACTCCCAACCCTCTGGAGCAGATTTGGAGGGAACATTGGTGGTTACCAGGGCAAAGAGAGTTTGTAGAAGCAGAAGCCTGCTGCGCAAGTGGGCAGCAACCTGTCCTTCAGCGTGTATGGGCAGACATTCACAACTAATTCAAGACTTAATTGTGTTGGTTGTTGGTAAACTTCTGGGCCCCATAAATTAAAAGTGCTCATTCTAATCCTTAAAGCCAACAGCCTAGAACCAACATAGCTCTTACAGCAGAGGTGTTGAGCCTGTGTCCTCCTTATGTTACTAGTCTCCTATTCCCATGATCTCCAGATAACATGGCCAGTGGTCAAGAATTATCAGAGCTGTAGTCCAGCAACATCTGGAGGACCACAGGATCCCTTCCTCTTTTTTAGAGCAGTGGCTCCCAATTAGCTGAGTACTGCAGCGAGGAGGAGCAGAATTATGTGCCCTGGTCTCGACCCGCTGCTGAACTTGCATGTTTAACTTGATGCTTTGTCCATTGGGGCTTCCTATAGCTTGTGGATGTGGGTGGTGCTCTGGTCTAAACCTCAGAGCCTAGGGCTTGCCGATCAGAAGGTCGGTGGTTCGAATCCCTGCAACGGGGTGAGCTCCCGTTGCTCAGTCCCTGCTCCTGCCAACCTAGCAGTTCGAAAGCACAAGTAGTTAAATAGGTACCGCTCTGGCAAGAAGGTAAACGGTGTTTCTGTGCGCTGCTCTGGTTCGCCAGAAGCGGCTTAGTCATGCTGGCCACATGACCCGGAAGCTGTACACCGGCTCCCTCGGCCAATAAAGCGAGATGAGCGCCGCTGGACCTCATGGTCAGGGGTCCCTTTACCTTTATAGCTTGTGGAAGGGGCTCCCTTTTGCTAGGTTGTTCTAAATTTATATGCTTGGCTAGCTGCTCCCAGACATTGTTTAAGCCAATGAGGTCAGGGGCTGTGGCTCAAAACACCTGATAGCAGGAATTTGAAAAGGAAGAAGGAGCTATGTCAGTTAGCACCCTGGGAATAAGAAGTGAACAATGCTGATAAAGTTTCAAAGCCATTCCTGATGATGGTGGTTTATTTAGTTATTCTCGCTGTTCAAAGGACTTCAAATCAGATTATTTTGTTGTAATCTTTATTTACTTATTTATTTATTCACTTACTCATTCATTCAAAAGTGTTCCTTGGCTGCTCTTCAACGAAAATTATTCCAAGAAGGTAGTGTGCGAAGGTGTGAATAATACTATTCACGCAACATATAAACATGATATAGAAAACAACAGGTAAGCTTCACAACATCCAGACTAAAACAGGGGGGGAAACAACAACAGAGGAGCAAAATACCAACCCAAGTATCATCTAAAATACAATGGGCAAGCAGGAAGACTTTAACTTGGGTCCAGAAAGGGTTGCATTGTGCTCCATATGCCTCTTTCGGGGGATCCACATAGGGCAAAAGTTTCCTGCATTGCAGGGGGCTGGACAAGATGATCCTTGTGGTCCCTTCCAACTCTAAAGTTGCAGCAGCCTTCCAGGGTTTCAGGAAGGGGACATTGTCAGGCCTACATGGAGATACTGATGATAGAACCTGGGACCTATCGGTATCGGCAGTAGTGATTAAGATGGAACAATGGAGTGACCCTTTATGTGTGTGTTCCTATGTAATTTAGTTATTATTGCCCCCATATTGCAAACAGGGATAGGAAGGCACTGCTGAGCCAGGACTCCCAGTGGGTTCATAGCAGTGTGTCCTTTAGCTACTACATGCCTGAGGTAAGGTGGAATGCATGATCCCACAAGATGCACAGAAGACTCTGGATGCAGTTATTTGGATCCTGACATTGTTAATCCCCTTTCCATAGAAGCTGAACTATCCTGTGTCACAATTGTGCTTCAATATTTCTTTTCTCATGTACAACAGCAAGTGAGACCACATTTTTCTAGGTTGTATAACTGAAATAAATTTATCAGTTCTTGATCAATATGGGATACCATATTTATTTAGGGGAACACAAAGATTTGTTACAAACACCGGGAGATAAAACAGGGTGGGAATTGTGATCTGGATAAAGACAATGATTTAAAAAGGGTAGGGAACTCTTTTAAGACCATACATGGGTTTCCAGGATCAAGCAAACCTTCCAGTGGTTCATGTGGCCAAAGTAAAAGTGGGCAGAGCAACAGGTGTAAATGTTACCTTTGTACAGTAGGCTAGTTTCTACACACATCCATCCAGAGTTATTGTCAGAGTTCACCGACATTCCAGCTAGACCAAAATACTCAAGGCGGTTATAAAGCAGGAGCAATAAGGGGTATGACCTGTGGAAGTTGCTGAGGGCCAGTCAGAGAGACCTGATGGGCCACATTAAGGTCCCAGGTGCAAGGCTTCCTGATTTAAGAAATACCTTGTTCTCATGCTGTTTTCTGTATAAGTCATATTTACAGGCTCAAAAAATATGCCTTTTGTTATTTGATCATTCCAGCATCCTATTTTCCCCAGTAATAAGCCATATCTATTTATCTAACCAATAGATTAACTGCTTCATATAAAGATAAACTCTGAGTAGTTTACACAGTAAAATCCATGAAATCCACAAAACTAAAATACAAAGATTAAATACATAACTGTCCCTATCACAGTAGACAGCAGAATCAAAATACTGAAACAGAATACTAAGCAGCACAGTCTAAAAATTAACAGCCAGGAAATGCCTGAATAAACAAGCAAAAAGGCACCTAAAATAGGCTGATGCTTCTCAGAGAGTGCAGGGGGAGGGTGTACCAGAGGGTTGGTGCCAGTGCGGAAAAGGCCTACATCCGCATTGTACCTAGATGGGTGGTGGGTACCACTCTTAGACTTCCTAGCTGTTTTCTGCTGCACCTGGAGAACAGCAGCCTGTTGGAACCAGAAGATTTGGCCAGCTAGCCTCACCCATGAAGAGCAAGAACTCTGCCATTGCTGTAGCTGTTTTCCAAGGAGAAGCCTATTTATTTGGAGGCTGCTGTTGACTGTTGTTTGCTGCAAGTGTGGAGATTGGGCGATATCTTGAGGGCAGGGGCACTCACCTTAGGCAATTGTCTGTGAATGGGCTTGCTCTTAGGTCAGAGAATGGAGAAGCTGGGAATCAGGAGGTGGGAGATGTGAGTTAACTTGTCTTCTACGTGAGAGGTGGAGTGCTGAGGATCTATATCTATGTTGAAACCATTTGTGCAACAATGTGTATCCAGTGTCACTGATTTTCCCATTTAATATAATTTTGATTGAGCTATCACACTTTCCTTGCATCTTTTATCTGTATAAATGTGCTGTTCTCCTTCAGCGTTAGAAATTTGCCAGGTGCATTTTGCTTCTGGCTACCAGCCACTTGCAATCAAATGAAGATGCCTAGGTGCCAGGATGGCATCTCCACCATCTGGATGTGCATGCATGGAGCTCCTTCGATCTTGACTGTTTTCACACATTAGCAACACATCCTGTAGAATTCTATCCGTAATATTTTATCAGCACAATCAGAATGAATTTCAGGAACCAAAAGGTCTTATTGAAAAATACAACTTTCAAGCTGTCTGGCCCCTAAATGGCAATTGCGTCGACATTGCGTTTTGGCAACTGTTACTCTGGTTAAAGGAGCCATTTGGCACATAGCACTGTTCACTACTATGGGGACCTTTGAACAAAAAAGCCATAAATCACTAAGCCATACATTGTTTTATGTAACAATCTGTCAGCTGCTGCATGCCCAACAGGGCACCCTCCAATTATTGTAAAGGTAGACTGGGTCTGTACAGATGAAGGTAGTCTATCCGGTATCATGGTTGTTCAGGGCTTTACACGTTAATAATGGAACCTTGAATATGGCTCAGTAGCTCATAGGCAGGAGATGCAGTGCTTTTGGGAAGCTTTCATGTAGGGCATGAAAGCAATAGCCTTTTCCCATTATCGGTATTCACATGTTACATTCAATGGGTGTTAAGTCTGTGTATCTGTGCACACAAATTGTTGAGCTGTACAAATCAACAAAGGGCCACTCTTTCACAGAAACACTCGTACCTGTGTAGAGATGATTTGCTCAGAAAGCTTATCATTAGTCCCCAGCCCAGAGGTTGCATTCAAACATAGTGACTAGAAGCTGTTGATAAACTTATCTAACAATCTGTCTGAATAGCAGCAAATTCCTTAAATGAACTGCATGATATATGTAAAAGTCATTCCTGTTGTTTGCCTTGAATCCCCTGCCAATCAGGAAGAGTGGAAGGAAGGCCTTTCCTCACACATTGTCCTAGCTCCAAGGCATTGGTGCTACTTGTGAATTGACCTATTGCAGCAGTGGCTAACCCTTTCCGGGCTGAGTGCCACACTAATCCCTGGTAACCCCTTTGGCAGCCACATGTCAAAATGGTTATGGAGTAAAAGTGGATGCGGTCCTTTTTTCTTTTTAAGGGACACATTTTCAGGTTCTGCAGGGGGTGGTGGGTGGCAGGCAGCAATCACAATCCCATCCCTGCCCTAGTGAGGACTACATATGCTCACTGGGTGCAGAATGACTGGCAAAGTGGGGAATGGGAAGAGAATGGAATGGAGGAAGCAAAGCTGACTGACTTGGAACAGCAAAGAGGAGTAGGTGACTTCAACGTTTTGTTGCCAGTCCCACTAGTATTTTAAAATCATAATCAGTTCATTAAGCAAATCCATCAGTGTTTTTAATATGTGTGGTTATGCATATGTACACACACACACACACACACACACACACACGTGTTTCCTTAACTGTCGCAGCCTGAAGTGTTGTTTTTCTCTCTCTTGCAAATAGTCCTTTCAAAAAACAAAAACTCCACAGCTTTCAAACCTATTTGACTTAGATATGCTCAAAGGAATCCATTCGCCTGACAGCAAATTTGCAAGTTTATTAAATAGCAGCAATGACTCATCCACTTGCAGCTGTTCCTGGGAGCGTAAATATACATAGACACTATAGATTAGGGTGTGCAATTTGGGATGGGAGCGTGGTTTTGGGGAAACAGATTTCTTTCGGCTCTGATTTTATTCTGAGCATGTGGCATTTTCACTTCTTCTCCCCACCCACAGATGAATGCTATCTTTTCCTTTTGTGTGTGCGCAAGGAGAAATGGGAGCTTCCCTGCTGTTTTTGAAAATTTCGGCCTCTGTATGCTTTTCTATAAAACATTCATCATATAACTAGAATAAGACAGTTTCAGGCCAATGCTCTTTGCTAGTAATGGATGGGTGTCAGTTGAGTGGGAAAGAGGGAGGTGTTTTCCCCAGTGATACTTTTTAATGCCAGAGAAAGAGAAGATTTTTATACCTCATGAAAAATAAATTGATGAAGGTTGGATCCAGCCATGCTTACAGTAGACCCATCGAAACATGACTAACTTCATGATCCCAGGATGTGGTCTGGAGGCACATGAGGCTTCCACCTTGATGAAGGTCAGCAGGCCTTGATCTGGTCAATACCTGGATGGATGACCACCTGGGAAACACATGTACGCCAAGTGGTCATAGCAGTGAATGTTTTGCTTTCATATACAGTAGTGTGGTTTCTACATACATCCCTCTCAATCCTCCATTTAGGCATGCAAGAGTCATTACCAGAGTGCAACGACACTTTTCAGCCAGGCAAAAATATTCTAGGAGGGTATGACCCAAGGAGAGTCCCAAGGGCCAGGAAGAGAGGCCTAGTGGGCAAGGTTTCCCACCCCAGCTATAGAACTTGAACTCTGGGTTTTTTTGTGCCCTTTAGCAAAATCCTGTTCCTTGTGGGCATCTTCATCCTAAAAGTTTTGTGCTCTAGAATCTTAAAACTTGGGGTAAGCTGAGCGACTTCTAATTATTATTATTTTAATAGGCCAACACATCTGTTACTTTTAAATATGGTGTAATTTTCAGCCTTGTTCTTTTTCAATCATTTGTCTGAAATGTTAAGAAGCCCCAACTCTACCCCAAGTACCCCACATCCTGTCAACAATAAGCCTTTCAGAAAAACAAAATGAAAAAACTACTCATGCCTTTTCTAGGCATTTTAAAATAGGCATCCTTGGATGCTGAAGCTGTCAGAGGTTAGACTGTGTTTCCAAGGCCAGGTATGAATGTGTTAAAAGACCATTCACAATGCCACATGTACAAGATTCCTTGTGAAAGTCAGTCGCTGTGTTTGTTCATCTTGAGATTCCTGCATTGCAGGAGGTTGGACTAGATGCCCATTGGGGTTCCTTAGAACTCTACAATTCTATGATAACATGATAACCCAGAGTTGCTGTTTATCCTGGTTCATTGTGTTGTCTGATTGCTTCTCCACAGCACAAAGAGCAGAATAAACATGCTCACTTTTCATTGGATACCAGGATTTGATACCCATGCTTCCTTCCACTATAAGCAGAGGAGAGGGGCAAGGAGCTTCTCTTTATTAACAAGTGTGGCAGTGGCTAATGCAGGTTCCTTTCCCCCACTGATTTGCGGCCAGGGTGCCTGCACCATCTTGTGAACCTATCTCCCTTTCTGCTCCTTTAGCTTTAATAGCCATTGTGTGTTATACTTTGCCCTCCAATGGCATTCATTTTGTGACTGGTGTGCTCCCAATCCAGCTTTTCCAAATTCGAAATGTGCCCAATGGCCCCCAAAGGTTGGCAGCCCCATCCTCACAACTGATCCTTATTCAGTGGATGCAGAGGTTGAAAGCTGTGAGAGCATTTGGTGGTTTTAGTCAGAACTCTGTTATTTGGCTAATGGTAGATGGCCCCATAAATGAAAAATGTGGGGATGATAAGCATAAAAAAGATATCTGGTTACACCCTGGGCATTGGACCAGGAATAAAATCACTGGTGCTTTTGCAATGGATTTCTTCATTTATGAAGGATGGATGCAAATTAATATAGATTTATGGAGACTCTTCAGCCAGGGTGCAATCATTTTGTGGAAGGCTACTCTCTCAAGCTAATAAAAGCAAGCGTCAGAAAGCATATAAACATAAAGTGTGTACCAGAGCCTCTAAGCAATTAGGAGCTTGTTTCCAGGAATCCAAAAATAAATGCGATGCTTCTCCTCCCAGACAGCTAAAGAAAGCTTAGATTGATATGCCTATTTGGGCTGCTTTGACAATAATTCACCCTTATTTTTTGGAAAGAAAGAAGACATTTAGGGCAAAACAGTCTAGGTCTCTCCCCCTACTTGCACTGAAGATAAAATTTGAAATTTTCCATTTGCCCAGTGGATTCCATTGTGCTGATGCCAATCAGATTAATCAAATCTCTCCCAATTCCTCTTTGTTATTCACATCTCTTACTTGTCAAGGACTCCTGAAGGGTTACATATAGTGGCTTCATTCTGTTGTTCAAAACACTGGTCAGTTGCTAACCATGTTTTCATGAAGGGTAAGGCTATCAGTTACTAGTTTTTCTCCCTTTCTCATAATGTGAGAACTTTGGGCCATCCAGTGAAGCTGAATGGTGGAAGATTCAGAACAGACAATAAAGCTTCTTCACATAACACATAGTTAAACTGGAATTCACTAGTGATTGCCACCAACTTGTTTGACTTTAAAAAGAGAAGTAGACAAATTCATGGAGGATAGGCTATGCATGGCTACTAGCCACAATGGCTATGTTCTGTCTCCACTGTCAGAGGCAGTATACCTCTAAAGACCAGTTGTTGGGTAGCACAAGATGCAAGACTGCAGTTGTATTCAGGTTTTGCTTGCAGGCTTCCCATAGACATCTGGTTGGCACTGAACATGACTATGAATTTGAGGGACCATCAGGGCTATCCTTAATGTTCTTATTAAACTGAACATTATTTAAAAATAAAAAAATAATTTTGCAATAACTTAGATTTATTCATATTTTTACCTGCCCTTTACCACTAAATTCAGATCAGCTGTTGTAGCAGATAGTTGGCAATCACAGAAGGCAAACAGTTGTACTGGAGTAGATCTTTTCTCATTTTTTTAATTTCATGGAGGGTTGGTTTTTTCCCTTTTTCTAATGTGGAAGAATATCAAAAGTGGCATAGGCTGCCCCTCAGTGTGAAGTGGTATAGTCTGTGCAACCACCTCCTCAACCAAGCAATTCCTTTCTGCTGCGCATGTGGAGGCCTAGTCCAAGATGACGATACATATAAGACAAAACATATAAACATAACAGACACAGGTCTGCTGTTGGTGCTTTTAATGGCAGTAGCTGGCATTAGGCCCTGAAACGGCATTGGGGGGGGGGGGGAGAAGGTGATCTTCATCCCACTAAATTCAATACCCCTTCATGGTGTGGCAGTGGGAGAGCTGCCCCCTCACCTAGAGTCTGACATTTCACAGCCCATTTTGATGCCTCATTCTGGAAGTAGAGACTTTGAAAAGGGAGGAGGGTGAACTAAATTTCACTTGACCTTCCCACTTCAAAATGTGCCTTGAAAGATTTGATGGTAGGAATAATATAACTGTATCTGCTTGCGTGTGTACCTCATAAATTACATTTATTCACCAGCTGGATCTATGGGACTTCTTACTAAGACAAAACGATTACAGAAGAAAATCCATTTTGAGGTGGTAATAGCAGGCTTCTGCTCCCGTCATTTACTGCAAAAGCACCATTAGAGCACATTATGAATTTAGTAATCTCTTTGACTGACAGGGTGGGGAGTAGCAGGAACTTGAAGCCTGATCATTACTTTGCTTAGTTTCACACCTACCCCTTTTCGCTTTCTTTCTCTCCCCCCCCCTTTCTAGATACAATTTATTTTATGATAACCAAAAACCAAAAACATACACATCACAATCAAAAATTTAAACCATAAATCTTAATTGACTTCCCCCCACTCCCCCTCCTAGTTCCATTATTTTATACTTATTCATGCACGTCCATAAAATAGTATATTCTTAACAGTCCAGTTTTAAAAACCTTATTCATCTTGTTACAAGTGCCTTTTAGAAGTTCAACTAATGTAGAAGCCTATACACAAAGCTTGCAAAGTATGCATTTCCCCTTTTAAAAAAATCAATGTCCTTTTTCTTTCTTGGGTTTCAAATTATCTAATATGTCCTGCATAGTTCACTAATTTGTTTTGCCAATCTTCTTTATCTTCTTTGGCGGTGGCTTCTTCCTTCTATAGGGATGGGCTGGTCTTGGTCTGGCGTCCACTCTCAGATGCAGGGACAGAGTCTTTCACTCAATAAATCCATTAAGTCCTGTACCTTTCAAAATCATAGCATCTGTTGTTTTTTTTAACAAAAATCATTTTCAGCATTCTCTTCAAATCTTTATATGTCACTTCCCAGGCCTTCTTAATAACTTCACATTGCCACCACATATAGTAGCCTCTCATACCTTTTGCCCTCCCTTCCTGTTTTGTCTCCATCACAGTCAAAGCCTCCCAAATCAATTCACATGAGGTGCCATTTTTGTCGTGGACCACCCTTACTTTCCCTTGCATTTTCCTTGAACCTCCCACCACAACCTTTCCTACCTCGGTGGTTTGTACATTCACCTGTTTAAATTGTCCCATAGCCTCTGAAAGTAAATTAGTATTTTCCCGAATTTGAGAAGCTGCCTTATCAACATTTTCCTTTATCTGATCGAACAGTTCTCTTTTAAATTCCAAAAGCAAATCGTATAATTCATATTTTATGTTCTCTTGTCTTACGGCCCTGCTGGTTTGTTTCAACATTGAGATTTTTTCTTCTGCCATTTCTAATTTGGGATGAAGGGGAGCCAATTCTCTCCCCGTTTCCCAGCTTCCTCTCTAAGATTAAATTCCAAAACAAAAAGTCCTTTCCCACCAAGGAAGGTGTTATTATGGCTTTATCAGTACTTTATTAGGACATTTCACTAGACTCAGTAGAGAAAACCATTACTTCCAGCCTCTTTCCTACCTCCCTTCCACTTTACTCACAAAACCAGATTTTAACGATTATATATTCCCATCAAAATGATTTTTAATTACCAATATGCATAAAACTATAATATTAATGTTATTTTAAAGTCTAATTTAGTTCAGTATTAGCAATGAATATTATAGTCCTCTTTTTTAATCATGATTTTAAACCAGCTGTTACCTTTTAATAAAATAAGTCCACAATTATAATTCCATTAGGTTAGATGTCTTCAACACTCTGAAAGATCAAAAATTTCTTTCCTAAAAGTAGCGTAGATTCAGAGAGTCAGTCCAATCTTTCTTCCAGAGAGGAAATTTGTAGTATTCTTCCATTAAATAACATTGCAATCCTTCTCCTGTTTGACCTCCATTTTCACTCAAGTTCAATCACAACATAGGATAGATTCAGGTTCAAATTGAATTCAAGTCAATTTTGATGTTTTAAAAATTCTTGAGATTAGTATAAATGAAAGCTGTGTGGAATCTTTTAATCCTTATTGTTCATTAGTTAACTTATCTCCCAAAGTAAACTTCATCAACACTTCACTTGTATATATTTTGTGCTCATAGCACCAGGAACGGGAGCGGACTTCCTTTTAACACTCCCTTTTTTTGCCGAATCAATCAAATTAAACAGTCCTCACCTTTGCAGTCGGCTTCAATATGCTGGAATGGTAACCGCTTGTGGCTGGATCAGAGGCTTTGCCTCACAGAGCTGCGGTGGTGCCTAGTTCACCAGCACTTTCTTTTTTCCCCTTTCCCTTTCCTTTCCTTTTCCTTTTTCTTTTTTTCAAATACTTTATTGAAATTCATATATAACATAGATAATGTACACATGCTTGAATGAACAAAAATATAAACAGAACCGTATAAACAAAAACCATATACAAATAATCTTCTATATGTTTACGGAAATTAAACTTAGCTTAGATTTATGCTGTTTCTCTCCCCGCCCCCCTTTTCTTATCTTTTTACTAACATAAAATAAATGAGACTAGACGTCCTATCATTTCCTGGTGCGTCATCTTTCTGATGATGAATGTACCTATCATTATTAGCTTACTCATTCTATATTCTCTAATACATTCTTACAACAATTTGTCTTATTTCTTATGGGTTACTTTAGACGAGGGTCAATCGAATGCTTCCATAGACATTATACCACAGTTATAATTTTGTAGATACCTCTTATATTTATTCCATTTTTGAACAAACACTTGTCTTTTATTACCGCTCAAACTGTTGGGCAATTGCGTCATTTCTGCAATTCCTGCAATTCCTGTAATTTACATTGCCAATCCGATAATGTTGGAACATTTTCCTCTTTCCAGTTCATTGCTACCAGTGTTCGAGCTGTGGCCGTGGCATATAGGAAAGTTTACCTTAAATTTTTCGGAATGTCATTGCCTAAAATGCCCAAAATGCCTCTGGCTTTTTAAAGAAATGTTAGCCCAAAGATTTTTGCCTCATGGAGCTGCGATAGTGCCTAGTTCACCGTCGCTTTCACTCGGCTCCCCACCACCACTCTCCGCACCCCGAGAAGGACCCCGAGATACCCTAGTACTCCTCTTGGAGTTTTTGGGGGAAGTGCTCTTCCCAGAGGCTCCGTGAGGCCGAATCTGACAGAGCTGTCATATCCGCGGTTGGTCTGCCATGTTGCGGGAACCCAGAAGTGCCCTTTTTCACTTTCACCCTTTTCTTCACCAGACCCCTGAAAAGTGATCTGAAGGCAAGCACCAAGATTTTGACAGGTTCTTCAACCCACCCAAGGATGAAATGGGGCTGTGTGCACAATGGCTGCATTCACATCACAGTTTATTCTGTTTTGATTAACCCAAACTGTTAAATTCCACATCATATTTTAGCCTTCAAATGATGTAAAAGCCACTTCCGGGCATTTTGCACAGGTTTTGCATTCATTTCCGTATTTTCTTGCAAACAAATTTTTTTTCTGGATGCAGATAACCCAGTAATTCCTGTACAGTATAGGGAAGTTTTTAATGTGCAATGTTTTACTGTGGTTTTATAATTTACCAGAAGTCGCCCAGAGTGGCTGAGGCACCCCAGTCAGATTGGCTGCATATAAGTTGTTGTTGCCGTTGTCATCACAAAGCTTGCAGTATATTCTACTGTAGTTCCAGAAGTGACTTGCTGCATCAATGCTGCCTGCTGCAAGGTAGCCAACATAGGACCAAGGCCACTCATATTGGGGGGGGGGCAAATTAGAGGGAGCTTTTGCTGAGAGCTTCATCAAACCTGGAGTTGGCTCTGTTCTGGGTTGTCCATAGTCCACCCTCTCCTGTGGTGAAGTTGAAGCACCCTTTCCAAATGTTTGGCCCATCACAGAGAACTTTGGGTTGATGAGAGAGATGATGCTCATTTGGGCTGGGCACAGCCCACAAAAGACATATCTCTCCCCTCTGTCTGAAAATCATGGTTCTCTTTGCTTGATGATCCCATACTAACCTCTGGACCATGGCACATAACAGCCATTTCCCGAAATCCCGTGACCTGAAGAGACTATTCAGCTGCCCAGACTTTGTTAGCTCAGAGATTGAAAGAAAACATAGTCCCTACCAAGGAAGAATGGTAGATAAAACTGATGGACTGTGCTGAAATGGCAAAACTGACTGGAAGAATTAGGAATCAGGAAGATTTAAATTTTAATAAGGAATGGGGAAAGTACACAGTGTATTTGAAAAACTACTGTAAACACGTAAAATCATTAGTAGGACTAATATGACACTTGTAGCTAAAAGTTGAATTATGGATTAGTTAAAGATTTGATAAAATTGGAGTAACAGACGCGATGCAGGAGAAAATATTGGCATAAGGATCCACAAAAGAGGAGGAAGGAAGTCAAAGGGGATTTATTGATTATATCGTAATTGTTTTCTTTGTTGTTGTTTGTAAACCTGGAAATCCAAAAATAAAATTAAACCAAACAAAACAAGCCTTTTCAATTGTTAGCATATGCTATATGTGATAGGAACCTGCATATTTACAGTTTGCACACATTCCTGAGGTAGGGTTACCAGACATCCCTGGTTCCTGGGGACTGTCCCTGGACAAATTCCTTCCCCAGAATGTCCCCAGATTTGCAAATCTATTGCTCGGAAACATGGCAGCGGCAGCCTCAGCTGCCCAGAGCCAGCCTGGTAGCGCAGTTGGCTCTGGCTGGCTTCAGGAGCTGCTCGCTTCCATGACACCCGCCATTTTTCCTCTCCAGAAGTCCCCATATGATGTGTCTTGTGCGGAGAGGAAAAATCAGTTCTGTGTGGATACCTATTTTGACATCTGGAGGTCTTATATTAACTTAAGATGGACAATACTGGTGGTTAGTGTATCATTAATGAGAGTTGATAGGAGTATTATCATTATTATTCACATGTTCCTTTTTTCTTTCATTCCATCTTTGTTTTTATTTATAACTAAAAAGAAATTTCTGATGCAGCCTGAATCTTTTCTGATGTAAATGATGCAAATTATGCTCATCTGTATAGGGGGGAAATTCCAGAACATTTTCCTATTTAAATTATTTTGGCAGACACACATTGCCACCAACAATCCTTCTCGCTATTTTTTTCTCAGGCTTGGCGAAAGCGCTGGTTCGTGTTGCGCCAGGGCCGAATGAGCGGAAACCCTGATGTCCTGGAGTATTACCGAAACAGCCATTCCAAAAAACCCATCCGGGTGATCGACCTGAATGAATGTGAGGTGGTGAAGCACTCGGGCTCGAGCTTCATCAAGAAAGAATTCCAAAACAACTTTGTCTTCATTGTGAAAACGACTTACCGCACCTTCTACCTGGTGGCCAAATCGGAGGAGGAAATGCAGGCTTGGATGCACCACATCACCCAAATCTGCAACTTCGGACATTTGGAAGATGGAACAGGTAGGAATGGAAAGACGGATCAAACTCATGCAAAAGTGGTTCATTCACTGTTAATATCTTAAATGGATCACAGCTTGGTTGGAGAAAGTCTCTGACCATGTGGAAGCATTTTGCATACCTATGAAGGGGGTATTCCTCCCCACCTCTCAAGTTTTTTGAATCTTGTATTTTGGAACATGTTTGTAAAAGTTTCCCTGACCAAAACCACTTTTAAATATATCTGCTTTTTTTCTGAATTGTAGAGAAGCAAGCACCAAAATATTGAAAGAGGCTTTCGCAACCTGGGGTCCTCCAAATATTTTGAACTACAAATCCCATCAGCCCCAGTTCAAAACCTCTGAAAGGCACCAGTTTTGGGGGAGAACTCCCTTTAAAGAGGCAGGTTTTCCAGTCACAATTCTCCAAGAGATTTGCAGCGTGCACTTTCATTTTTATGCCGTATGCCTGGGAATGAATCATCTTGCAGATGGCTTGTTGATTACGAGAAATGTTTCAGTGTCCCTTAAAAGAAAAAAAGGGGAAACTAAAAGCCAGTTTTCTGATGTTATCACTGGAACATACCAAATCTATATACCACTTTAATTTGCTTTTAGACTTTGAGGACGCAGCTTAACGTCAGATGCATTTAGCCCAGTGTATTTATTGATTGAGGGGATGGGTTGCTAGAATCCTCAGCTTATATTATCAGCCAACATAGCTGTAGCTCAGTATATTTGCATGGCAAAAGAATTGCTGAGTAGCAGGCATGCCACAGGGCAGAGATGGGGAACCCTCTGAATATTTGCAGGACTACAATTCCCATCAGGCTTGACCATTGGCAGTACTGGCTAAGCTGATGGGAGCTGAAGTCTAACAACCTTTTTGGAGGATCACAGTATCCCCATCTGTGCCTTAAGAAGCACTGGAACATATGAAACTGCCTCATACTATGTCGGACCAATGGTCCATGTGGCTCAGTATTGTCTACATTGATAATCAGTGGTTCAGGATTTCCGACGGGGACTCTCCCAGCCCTACCTGGAGATGCTGAGAATTGAACCAGGGACTTTATACATGCAAAGCAGAGTTACAGCCATTCCCACTGTGGTTGCAGGTATAACTGGCTGATATTGGGGAAGGGGCTCCTTTAAGTACTTTAGTCCCAAGCCATGCAGGACCTTGTGTACTAGTGCTAATACCTTGAATTGGGCCTGGTAGTTCAGCCAGTGCAGTGCTCTGAGTGACACATGGTTTCATTGGGCTGTCCCACTTACCAACCTGGCAGCTACATTTTACACTAGCTGCAGTCTCTGGGTGGTATTAAAGGGCAGCTTCACATACAGTTCATTACAGTAGTCCAGGCAGGATGGACCAGAGGTTTATAAGTCTGGTAGCTTCCTATGCATAAAAACAGAGGTACTTCAAGGGTCTCCAGTATATACATCATGTACTCTCCTATCTTGCTCTGTAGTCATATGTGCAAGCTTCAGTGATTTTTCTTTTCCCAATTAGTGCTTCAGCTTATCAAATAAAGCTTTATTCTGATGGTGAAAGCAGACTGCTGCCTTGATTGCCGAGCAGGGAGCAGGAGGAAGAGAAGGGGGAGGGGGGAGAATGAGAACATAGAATCTCTTTGCTCCCTCCATAGAAAACGGACATACATAATTTATGGTCCGCAGATGCTGCCATGTGCCTTTAATGGACCTCAATTTTATTACTAGGCTCTTAGGAAAATGTGCAGAAGGCCACCGGCTTCTGTCCTTGGAGCCTGGCTTCAGATGTCGGCACAGCCCAAAGGGACTCTTTCGTATTCTCACTTGCTCTCCCTGCAAAGAGCATTTGCTAATGGGCTGGAGAGAGTACTCAGAGGAATTAGTGCTTGCCAGTTCTGAGCCTTGGAGATCAACTTTCTGCCCCTTTATTCCGTGTGACTTTTGCTGTCTGTTTCTCAGAGACATTGTGCATTTGCTGTGGATTAGCTGCATGTAAGCTAGCCATGTTAATTAATTTCAGTGGGACTACTCTTGAGTAGGACTAACATTGGCTGTAGCCCATGGCTCCCAAGGAATGAACAGGAGCCCCTAAATATGGCCTGTAGAGGGTCGGGGGGATCAGAATCCACCCTGCTGACAAGATCCTGATCCTCTTCCCTTGGGTATAATATTTGTTGGGAGGGGGAATCTTTCAGACTCTGATACTTTAATTACTCTATGTGCTTCTTTCCTGCTCCTTAGCGGCCCTCAAAGCAGCTTATAGTCAACAAAATACAAAACTGGAAACTGGAAAACAGCAAATATCCATAAACAAACCCAGCAACCAGAGTACAAAAAGCAAACATGGTCATTAAATTATTCGGAGGAGAAACGTGTAATATAATTGGAAAAGGTGTTGTCTTAATATTTAGTAATCTTGTGTGGCACCAGAGAACTAGTTTGTTATCAAAAGCAAGGAAGTGAAGGAGACAGAGGACGGAAAGTGTTTGTGAGCCCACATTGCTCAGACCATGGTTTCAAGGTTGTGATTTCTGAACAAGGTACTTCCTCCTTGGGTACGTCCATGTTGACAGTTCAACTTGCTGCAAGACTTGGCCTCACCTCTGTCTCCAAAGTATCTAGCACTTACTCCACCAGCAAGTCATAGGCTCTCAAAGAGGAACTCCTTTGCCACTCATTTGAAAAGTGGGTTTGCTTGCACATCATTAAGCAGTGCAGCCCCTTAAGCCTTCGATACCCAACGTGCTGCCTCAATACTTTGTGGGACTACAACTCCCGTTATTTCTGACCATTAGCAATGCTGGCTGGGGCTGATGCAAGTTGGAAGTCCGACAGCATCTGGAGGGCTGTGTGTTACCTTAAACTGTTCATGTCAAAATTTAATTACGGACAGGTGTAAGAATCTTTGAGATTCCTAATGAAATCACTGTAAACTCACCTCAGGGATGGATGATCAGTGGTAAAGCATCTGCTTCACATGCAGAAGGTCCCAGTGTCTTTCTCCTTCCCCGGAATGTTGACCTTAGAGACTGGATGCATTTGCTAGTAGAAGCTTTTAAAAAGCAGGCAAGCAAGCAAACAAACAAACAAACCCAACTCTCTCATAATTTGAGTGCTCATTTGCATATAATACCCCTTCCAGAATACATTCAAAACACTTGCCCCAGATGTACATAAAGCCGAGACCAAACTTCCAGCCCATTAGCTGATCCCTGCTAGATGAGCTTGTTCCTTTCTTCAGATGGCCTCTCTCCCTTTACAGCCATCACTGATTTTCCTTCCCTGCTTCTGGTGGGTTGTCTGCCTTTTTTGTCTTTTTAAATATCTATGTTCACGATCGTATGGGTGCTGTTTTTATCTTTATCTAAATATAAATTTAAGGCTGTCATCACACAGCCACCATTGGAGGATTTGGAGTGCCACATCACAGGGTAGGGGATGTGGGGGGCGGGAGAGAGCCAGCTTTTAAAATGGCAATTTTAAACAACAGCAGTTTGGATGAAAGAAGGATGGAGACACACAGAGGAGTTGCGATGGGATGGGGAGTTTGAAAGAGCTGTGAGGGTTTTGGGTGAGGTGTAAAGGGGCAGGATGGGGAATTGGCAAGAGGGTTGAGGGGTGGGGTTGGGTTGGTGAGCAATGTAAGCTGGGGGCAGCCCCTGTTGATTATATACTTGAAGAATCATATATCACCAGTTTTAATTTTCATTTATTTGTTTATTCCAAGAACAACAGCAGACTGTGCAAGTGGTTAGGGATAGGGAGAACATCCTGAATGAGGGGGTGCCACATTGGGGAAGGCGGGCTTTGGCTATGGAATGTTAAGGCAAGGGGTTTGTTGAAGGGAGGTGAAAGAGGGGAGGTGGGTAGAGAGGATTTGCTGGCTCGGAATGGTTTGGGAAGATAACTACTTCTCATTGCATTAATCCCAGACTCCAGTTTGCTGTGATTTTGTATACATTGGTCCTCAGATAAGCATAGCCATTTTCAGTGTCAGCTTCTGCAAATGTGCTCAGACCATTTGCAGAAAATTGAATGGTCTGAATACAAGTACTGTAAAATAACTGTCTCTCTCTCACACACACTCTACTCAGCACCATACTGTCCAGGTGTTTTGGACTACAACTCCTATCATCACCTGCCATCACAACTGATGGGAGTCGTAGTCCAAAACACCCGAAGGGTGCCAGGTTGGGAAAGGATGTTTTCTACCTATTTCCCTGGGAGATGCAAAATGGCTTACAATAAATTATGCAAATCGAGGGATTCTTGTTTCTTCCCTTCAGTGGGCAGCTTCATTTGCCTGAGTCTGAGTTCTCTCCAGAGATATGGATTCTAGCCTTGCCAGTTTTATCTGAATGTCACTGAGGTTTATCTTCAAGGATCACACAGCCCATTAGAAACCCTATCACTATTAACAAGGGCTCCAGGACAGTTGGAGCAGATGGATGAAATCCATCTTACCTCCGGCACTCCCCAAACGGGCCAGCGCCAGAAGAGAGAGCACAGTTTGGAGAGATTTTAATTGATGTGCTGCCCCCTCCCTCCAGTAATTGCAAAAAGAGCTCACAATGCACAAAACGCCCGGCAATGATATGTCATTCAGAAGACATATTGCATCGTGCTCCCTGCTTCCCTGAGCAGTGTGATTTTCCAAGGGTGGTGCTTTGGGTTTCCTTTCAATGAAAGATCATTGGAGATTTAATGATTTGTTATTACTATTTTGGTTTACTTACTAGTTCCCATGTTGGAGCATGGGAGCGCAGTGACAGGCAGCATTGCACTCTGAAAAGCAGCAAATCCACTCCCCCCACACCAGACCTCCCCCCTCACACACAGAAAGGTAGCCTAAACCCCCTTTCCCCTTCACTTTACCCTCTCTGCCCCCAGTAATCAGATAACAACCTTGATCCCTTTGAAGATGCTATTCTATCAGCCGGTTGGGAAGCACGATGAGCCTATTTATTTATATATAAACATATATACATATTGCAATCAAGCAGTGCATCAATTCCATGAAATAAAATAAATAAATGCCTCCCCTCCCTGTTACCAATTTAGAGAATGCCTGACCCCTCGCTGCTCTGGTATCCTTATTGGGTCCACCCCCCCACCCCCAAAATATGGTGTCTGATTGGCTGAGCCTGCCGTCACTTTCACCCTGGGGTGGAAATAATTCAGTTTAAAATGGTGAACAGTTGCAGCCTTGGGGACAGTGAGCAGCACTTCACTTCCTGGCATGGGCGTAGCCAAAGGGGGGCAGTGGGGGCAGCTGTCCCCCTCTAGACCAAGTAAAACAATAGAAATACTTAACTAACTGACCAATGACATCAGTTCTGCCCCCCCCCAACAAAAGTCCTGGCTACGCCCATGCTTCCTGGTGCAGGACCATTTGGTGCTGCCAGCTCCCTAGCCTCTGGCTGCTTGGGGAGGAGGGCACCCAGGCTCTTTGGGTAAGGTGGGTACCTAGGCCTTCTAGTCTGGCTCTAACTGCACCAGTTTCTGGTGGTATGAGTTCTTGTCCCCAAATATTTGACCTTTTATGCCAGATTTGGCCTGGGACATGTGCAGGAAGATTGATTTTGCAAAATAGAGGCCATTTTATCCAGTGGGTCATTAATTACACCGTAATATAGTCTGCAAATTCTTTTACATACTTGTTCAAATCCCACTTTAAGGTGCAGTGAGGACTTCCAACACTTTCTAGTTAAGCTGATTCTGCAAGAATGGCAGTGCCATTGCCAGACAAGAAGGCACTTCCGGAGGACACAACACCCATCTCCCTTTAGCAGTAACCCTGATAGTTTAGAATATTGATCTTGCAGCCTTTTTGGAAGCATCATTGCTGGCAGCAGCACTGCCCATTTCTATGCATCAGATGAACTCTGTATCTGAAAAGCTGTTTGTGTTCCTAATTGGTCCATGACTCATTTAACAGTAAGATTTAAGTGGCTTTTCTAAAATGTGTAGGCTTTCATTGTAGACATAATGTAAATGCATGCATGAGTTTTCCTTTGCTTTAATCAATAAGCGTGCACTTGAGTGTGTGGCTGTTTATAGAAATAGATGTAGATCTTGCAAAGGCTTTAGAATGACACCTTGCCGGGTAGTAAATACACAAAAGTGGTATCCCAAGAACAGATCAATCTTGATGGAACTGCTTGGCTGTAGAACAAAAATGCTGCCATCTGCTGGTCTTGTGGAGATTTTGCAACTTGAACAAATATTTTGTTCCCCTGCCCCTTTTATGGAAGATAGGAAGATGCCTTGTAGTGAGTCAGACCATTGATCCATCTACCTTAGTATTGTCTACACTGACTGGCAGCAGCTATCCAGGGTTTCAGTCAGGGAGTCTTTCCCAGCCCTTCCTGGACATGCTGGCAATTGAAGCTGGAATCTTCTGCATGCAAAGCAGGTGTTCTGTCACTGAGTAGTGGTCCCTCCCCATGAGTTGATACCAGTCCAGTCTGGCTCTCCGTTTTTTGTTTTCTGTACCCCTCCATCCTGCCCCATCCCTCTTTTAACTTGCAAATTCCACTTATCCACACAGAGGCTGGGAGGGGCTGGCTTGTCTTACCGCCTCTGTGTTTCTCAGGTGGTTTGAAAAGGACCATGCAGAACACCTGTCTGGGGGAAGTGTTTGGCTGTACATTTTGTAGACTACAGTTTGTCTTCCCACAGTATAAACACTTTGCTTCTTGGAAATGTTGCGTTAGATAATATCTTGGCCTCGTTTCCCAGATACTGTTTATGGGTTAGGGAAGCTGAGCTTCTCTTTAATGTAAACACTTGGTGGCTATCCATAATGGAAAAATGTGACTTTAAATATCAATAATTGTTGTTGTTGTTGTTGTTGTTGTTGTCAAGATTGGGTTGCATACTGCTGTTTAAGCCGTGGCGGTGGTATGGCCATATTAGGTGCTTGGTGGGGGCTGTCTCAATATATTCTTACCACCCTCCGCACAGGTTGGGGAAGCAGCCTTTTTATAACTTTTTTAAAGTTGTTAGAATAATACATAGTGCAAAAAATACACAGTGTGAAATATTATTTTATTTGTGAATTGCCTTTTACATATATGTCTCCAGGCAATCTACATGCATCTTGAAATTATTTAGAAATTAAATAATCAGTCAATCAGAATAATAAGAAAGCAAAAATAGTTTTTGAAGCAGTGCTTAAACCCCCCCCCTCAAAAAACCCCTCTGAAGCTAAGTTTAAATACCATACAAAAAGACACCCAGCATTTTCATCCAGCTGGAAAAGCCTGTCGAAACCAAAATGTCTCCAGTTGTTTTAGGAAAATGCAGATAATGGCTGTCTGTTGTATCTCAAAAGGGATGCTGTTCCACAGAATAGAGGCAACCACATTGAAAGCCCTTCCTTAAGTAGGCTTCTGATATTTGGGGGACTTTAAGGAGTCCTGCAGAATGCTACCCAAGTGGATAGCCATGTTATCCTTTAACACCAGCCTGAAATAGTATAGCTGGCTTATCTTCCTTTTTTTTTCTGTATCTTTTTGGCATTAATAAAATCCCCATCAGCTCAAAGTTCATTTCATTAACACAGTCATTCAGGAAACATAATAGAGCTCTCAGTGATAATAACGAACACCCCAAACCTAGTATTCTCCAAGGCCCATCTTTCTCTCCCACCCCACTCCCCCAAAATGTGTTGAAATTCTGCATGGGTCTCCAAATGCTGCAACTGTATGAGTCCATTGGTTGATTATAAATACAGCTGTGTGATACACACACACACACACACACACACACACACTGCTTGATTGTAAAAGAAAAACCCTTTAAAAACTCAAAATGATTTATGTAAAGAAGAAAAGAATAACATTATCAGTAAAAAACTGTTTGAAAAAGCTATTGAAAACATTCCATTTTACCCATGTTGTGAACACGTCCCTTAAATTAAGTTTTCTTTTAAGTTGAGATTATTTATAACCTCATTTTAAATGTTGGCCCTGAAGAAAACAACAGAAACCCAGGTATACACCAGTACTGATTGTTTCAGTCCAATTTGGCCACAGCACATAGGCTTTCTTCCAGTGCTGACCTCATCTTCCTCAGTACTGTAGATTTACTCTTTGTTCCAACAACCCTGGACGGACAGAAGGTAAACAATGAAGAAATTAGTATAGGCCACAAATCCTTCACTGCACTCCTTGGAAAGAATCAAGCCCCTTACAGGATCAAGGCCAAACTGACTTCCTGACAAGCACCGTCAACTTATAACCTTTTCTTTCCTTTGTCACAGATTCCGGAGACAGCCTCTCCCACACCACCACTTCCCCGCAACCTTCGCCAGCCGCCTCTGCCCACGCCTTGAGGGTTGCAGACCCTTCCCTTTTGGCCGACCAGGCTGCTGCGGATGCTTCTGCTGCAGAGGAGACAGCAAGCGAGTCAGAGTCTGTCTTCCTTCCTGACTATCTGTTCTTATCGAACTGTGAGACCGGAAAACTCAGTCATGTCAGGTATCACCATAACTCTCTCTGATACAACCTTCCTCCAACCTTGTGGCCTTCCAGATGTTGCTCAAGTGCAACTCCCATTAGCAACCGTGTCCTGGCTGGGGCTGCTGCGAGTTGTGGTCCAGAACATCTGGAGGCCAGTGGGGAAGGTTGAGTGCCTTTCAGTTTTGGGGGGCAAAACAGGGTTATTCCCAAAGTAAGTTTGGGTCCAAGGGGAAGAAGTACATAGCTTACATAGAAGTATGTAAGCTCATAAATTGTGGTCATATGTACACCTTATATTTAAAGCTCTATGGTGCCACTTTAAACAGTCACAACCTCCCCCAAAGAATTCTGGGAGCTGTAGTTCATTAAGAGTGCTGAGATCCCTATTCCCCTCACAGAGCTACAGCTCCCAAAATTCTTTGAGGGAAGCCATGATTGTGTTATCATAGTGCTTTGATTGTATGATGGGAATGCCACCTAGGTTGGTGGCTGAAGTAAGATTCAGCCATGGCAATGACACAGAGCCCTCCACACCTGAGGGCATAAAGCTAGCTTAGGAGGCACAGGGTAAGCTATGTGGCACATAGCTCTGCCTGCTCTCAGCATCTGAGGCCTTAGGTAGCTGCCTCCCTTTGCATCGTAGGGCCAGCTCTGTCAAGTTGATGTTAATATTTCTCCACATGGTTGCATTGCTTAGTATTTTTCAGAATGTTTTTCATAGGCCGATGGGCCAGACCCATTGTACGTGCGGTTCTTCCTACATTTTAGTAAGGGTGCAGGAAATCCAGGGCTGCATACACACCATGCACTTCAAGCTCATTCTGCTTCCCTAGAAAAGATTCATAGGAAGTGTAGTTCACTCCTCACAGGGCTACAATTCCCAGCACCTTTAAAAAGCTACAGGTACCAGGATTTTGTGGTGAGGGGAGTAATGTGATTTAAATGCATGGATATACACAGCCTAGATAGCCTCTTCTGCTTCTATAATTCTAGGAAATGGTCTTATACCAAGTCAGAGCATTGGACCATGTAACTCAATACTTTCAACATGGCTGGCAATGGCTCTTAAGGTTTGCAGTCAGTCTTGCCCAATCCCTACTTGGGTATGCCAGTGGTGGGCATGGCCAGAGGCAAAAGTGGGAGTGGCCAACACTGAAGCAAGCAATAGATGTGACTTTGTACAACACACGCACGCGCAACATACACATCTCTCCATCCAGGCATGGGAAGGCATCTCAGAGGACATATTCCAACCAGTAAAAGTGCTCAAGAAGTGTGTAGGGGGGTGTGAGAATCCTAGGAACCAGCTAAAAGTGCCTGTAATGCCCCATTTCTTCTCTTACTTGTCACCTAGGTTGGTGGTTGAAGTAAAATTCCACAATGGCAATGAGACAGAGCCCTCTACACCTGAGGGCATTAAGCTAGCTTAGGAGGCACAGGTTCCTTATTCCAGTTGTAAATTTTCCCAAAAGAAAGAACAGTCCTACCCTTCCGGCTCCCCCATCACATTCTGTTCTTGCTTTGGTGGGGAGAGAGCTACCCGTGTTTCCACTGAAAGAAAAATGCAGGAAGCCTTAAAAGTCAACCTGACCTATAATCCCCAAATTTCTTCTTTGTGCTTAAAACGGCAATCAGATGCTGAATATTTTTGAAACCGTAAAAACCCTCCAGAGTGCCTCTTCAAGTCAATATCTACTTTGTTTTCAACGATGGCTATAACAAAACATGAGTACCACAAACGCATCCACAAGAGAACAACATAATTGCCCCTACAAATAAAATTACTCCTCTATATTGTAGTCAACAAAATGTTCTCCTTGATGGCTTGTCCTAAAAGCTTTCCTGGAAAGGCAAGGTAGAAATGAATAGAATGGGGGGGGGGGATAATTTAGGACACAAAGCAAAATTAAGCACTCTGGAATCACAATTATTTCAATGGTGGTGAGAGTTAAGTAAATCAGTGAGAGTCGATGCCTCAGTTTTAGCACAAAGGCTAAGACAAAACTAAGTATTTTGTTGTCCTTTAACTCTGATACTGTTTAGAGGAAAGTAAAAATTAAACAAAAACTTGTGGGATGAAAAGCAAATCCTTCCACTCCCCACCAGGCAAGTATGAAATCACCATATTAAAAATGTTCATACAATGTTTTTCAGCAAATTCTGGAAATGAAATAGGGTTGTTATTCTCACAATTGACCTCATATTCCACCAACCACCTCAAACTAAGCAGAATGCAGAGCTATCCAGCAGTGGGAATGGGATGTTTAAAGCAGTATTTGGAGATTTTGACAAGATAAGAATGTGCATCCCTCATGTCCATCTAGATTGCAATGACATTTGGGGTGGGGGTGGGACAGAACCAACAAAGTCAACTATGCAACTTAATTTTTTGTTATCAACATCAACAGTGAATTCCATAATCATTCATCAGACAAGAACCACAATTAGCATATATATCCAAAGGCATGTCAGAACCATAAATTTCAGATTGCTTGATGAAGTTCCAAAGCAGTTTTTCCCATTCATTCCCAAGAGATGCTATTCTCTTTGGAGCAAAACCGCAATATGTGGTTTAACAATCAAATCCCTCTTCCCAGGGAACTCTTGAGAATTTTTGCTCTGTGAGGTGAATAGGGGTCTCCTAAGAACTCTCAGCACCCTTAACATAATATGTCAGTTTCCATGAATCTTTGAGGGAATCCAGAATTGTTAAAGTGGTATCATAGCACTTTCAATGTATGCTGTGAATGTGGACTAAAATAGAATATTTTTAAAAACACAAAAAATGCACACTAACCAAAATAATGTACCGTAATCATAATTTGAAGTATTGGTTGGAAAAAAGAGGGAAGAGTGGAATGAAGATGAGCACAAGAAGATTTAATTGGGCTGCTCATGCCCCATTTTACACTAAATATCCTGGGAAGAATTAGAGCATGTGTTCTTTTTACATTTTTTGTATTTAAAAAACCCTCATCCTCCCTGCACAATTCAGGAAGAAGGAAAGCAAAAGCACATTTCCCCCCTTTCTCATATTCACTGGTTTGCTTAGTTAAGAGATTTCTTACCTGCGCTTCACTACAAGGTCCCTGGGTGGGCTACAACCTGAAGGAGCATCTCCATTCCCATTATTCAGCCCGGACACTGAGGTCCAGCTCCAAGGGCCTTCCCTCACTACAAGGTTCCCTCACTACAAGAAGTGAGGTTACAGGGAACCAGGCAGAGGGCCTTCTCAGTAGTGGCACCTGCCCTGTGGAATGCCTTCTCATCGGATGTCAAGGAGATAAATAAGTGTATGACTTTTAGAAGCCATCTGAAGGCAGCCCTATATAGAGAAGTTTTAAATGTTTGATATTTTATTGTGTTTTTATATTTTTCTGGAAGCTGCCCAGAGTGGCTGGGCAACCCATGCAGATGGGTGGCATATAAATAATAAAAATAGTATTAGTATTCATATTAGTATCCTATAAAGTCCAGTAAAACATTGAAACCAAACCAGATAAATGTACATCCAACAATACAAGCAGTCTCACGAACATCACACAAATATAAAGTTATGTCGGCAGCAAACGATGGAAACTATATAATGAGGCAGTACTGAGCTAGGTAAGGCAACTTCCTATCCCATGGTAGGGAAAATAGGGCACTGCCTCACCAATCTCAGTTTACCGTCACCCAACCTACACCCAGCTGACTGCATTCTTACTTTCAACCAGTCATGGCGTGGCTTTGCTTTTCTTTGACTGTTGCTGCTCTTCCTTCCTTCCACCTTACCAGTGGCCAATGGGCACTGGCTACCACTGTTCCTATGTTCTGCAACATAAGTAACACCTATACTAGTTTTCTTTTCTTTTCCTTTCAGGTGCCACAGCTGGTCCAATTCTGACCGATCCCTGGAGCAGACTTCATCAGACGATGTCTTTGTTGACTTTGTGGCATCTCAGCCCTCACTTTATCTACAGCCTTCTGGCATCCTGCTGCAAGAGATGCCCCAGGCAATGGGTCATGGGGCTCTTCTCAAGAATGCAGATTCAAGCGGTCCCCCTTCTAGTGATTTCTCCTCTTCCTCCCCGCTTTCAGGACCTCCCTTGACACCAACCTTAATGGTTGATAAAAGCCCGAGTGCTCTTTCCTATGGCATTACTGAACTTGATGTTCTGGGCAATACACCACCACCAAGGCCTCCTAAGCCAACCCACTTCACAGACAAACGGGTTGAAGAGCCATCCAGTGGGGCCCTTCAGAATGGACACGTTGGGATCTCGTGTGCTCAAGGGGCATTGGTGCCAAGGAGAATCTCCTTGTCTGGATTGGACAGCATGAGAAGTTGGAGAGGTAAGGATGTGAATGGTCTTGTCTGTTAAGAGCTGGCCTTCCTGAGCTCATTTGACCATCCCTGGTTTGTATAATTTCAGAGTTTGTTCCACCCTTACTCCATAGCTGGGAATGGAAGGAATTATCAGTTTGAGTTCTCTAGGTTTCTTGTTTTTCCCATCTTAAATTCAGTTCTCCACGTTTCTGTAGCAACTCATGATTTTTTGTTGTTGTTGCTGTCAAAAAAATCCTCCTGAAAATTCTTCAGCGTTTGGGTACATATTTATCCTAAAAACCACATTTTTGTCTGCAATTTTGACTGATGTGCACATTTTTGGAAGCAATTTCTCTTATCCTAATGCATTTTTGTATGTTATTTTGATGAATACTATCATTTTTACACACAGTTGCCCTTAACGTTGTTTGGTTGGCAAACTGCATCACATTGCAAACATGGGAGAAGTTCAGATTTTGAAGGGTGGCTTAGTTTTGGTTCTCCTATTGCTCTGTAAACTTTGAATTTGATAAATTCGGCTTTAAATGCAGATTGAACCAAATCCTCCCCACCCCAATCCCTATCCATAGCACTGGTCTTCAACTAGTGAGTTAGGACCTACTGCTGCTATAGTGCTTAGTGAAGGAAGACTTCTTAATTTTTCTGGTGCTGATTATTGTTTTGATGTCTTTCATCTTTGCTGGTTTTGAAGGAAGGGTTGTGTGTTTGTATTTTATGCTGCTCTTGGTGATGTTACTGTTCTTATTCTGTTGTTGTTTTACATTGTTTGTACCTTTTCAAACTGCATTTACATTTTGTAAGCTAACCTTGGAATTTTATTGAAGTGGTTGGGGGTACAAATGTCTCAGATAAATGAAATAAGCTTGCAGCTGTAACTGACCGTAAGTCATATTGATTGGTTTGCTCCCTGTGATGTCTGTCACAGGGCCACTCCAGAACAGTTTTTCAACTTCGGAAAAACTGGGATTGTGTGAGTGTTTTATTTTAAATAAGTGAGGAAATGAACATTCTGTTGAATGAACACACTCCCTGTGCTTAAGTAAAGAAGACTGATAACCAAGTTGAAACGGGCAGAATAAGGAGGCTGTGCTGGTTGCTATGAGCTGTAATCTGAAACATCTGGAAAATATCAGAGATACAAAAGCTGGACAAGACAATTGACCATAGGAGCATTTTAATTAGTATGGCCATTCACATTTTGAAAGGAAGAGTAAGTGAAGTCCTCCTCGTCCTCCTCCTCCTTACCCTGCCCTTCACCAGCAGATCCAAGTGAGGGTTATAACAATTTAAAAATCAGTGTTGTTTGTTGTTTAGTCATGTCCTGCTCTTCGTGACCCCATGGACCAGAGCACACCAGGCACTCCTGTCTTCCACTGCCTCCCGCAGTTTGGTCAAACTCATGCTGGTAGCTTCGAGAATACTATCCAACCATCTCGTCCTCTTTCGTCCCCTTCTCCTTGTGCCCTCCATCTTTCCCAACATCAGGGTCTTTTCCAGGGAGTCTTCTCTTCTCATGAGGTATTGGAGCCTCTGCTTCACGATCTGTCCTTCCAGTGAGCACTCAGGGCTGATTTCCTTCAGAATGGATAGGTTTGATCTTCTTGCAGTCCATGGGACTCTCAAGAGTCTCCTCCAGCACCATAATTCAAAAGCACCAATTCTTCGGCGATCAGCCTTCTTTATGGTCCAGCTTTTACTTCCATACATCACTACTGGGAAAACCATAGCTTTTACTATTGGACCTTTGTTGGCAAGGTGATGTCTCTGCTTTTTAAGATGCTGTCTAGGTTTGTCATTGCTTTTCTCCCAAGAAGCAGGCGTCTTTTAATTTCGTGACTGCTGTCAGTGTTAAAAGCTGTTAAAACAAATGACAGTCACAGGAATAGGGTGGCTCTTGAAAACATTCTTCTCTGGTGTCAAAGGCCAGGATAAAGATGTGCGGCTTCTGCATTCGCCAACAGCTGTATAGTGAAGGTGCCAGAAACACCTATTTAAGGAGGGAATGCCACAAATTAGGGGCAGTCACAGACAATTTGCTCTCCCGAGCTGCTACCACCCTGAACTTCTGAGAATGGCAGAACTACCCAGAGGGCCCCCTGGGCTGATCTCAACATCCTACAATGGCCTATAGGAGAAGGAGGGGGTCTCTCAGATGTTTGGGGCCTAAGTTGTTTAGGGCTTTAAATACTAGTGTGAGGATCTTGAATTGGGCCCACAAACAAACTGGCAGCCACAAACTGCTGCTACTACTCCTGATGCTTTTTAATATGCACATTGCATTGTATGGAACCTATTTTGTTTTAATTTATTAACAACTGTGTATCTCGTCTTTCTGCCTTGAAGAGAGGCCCTCTGCACACCTTCAGATAATTCTGAAGAATGTTTTTACCAGCTCATTTTATCAGTGTCCTGTGCAGTTCTTGGAAGCTTTTGAGAGAAACACCCATCACTGGAAGTGTTATTCTCACTAACAGCCTTGAGTTGCTGGGGAAGCAGACTTTCTAAAAGTGTGTGTGCTACTTTACACGTAAACACACAGACATGTGTACACACAGAGCGTATTCTTAAAGAGCTTTTCCAGATGGGAAACCCACAATTTTATTCTTTTGTCTATTAGTTTACTTATTAATTGACTTGCAGTTTAACTCATTAGCTGACTACATTGCAGCTCTGATCTGTGTTGGCTCCAGGATTTTGGCCACCCTAACCTGGAAGAGCTGGACATGCAATTCGAGAATTCTCTTTGGCTGATCTTCTTGAATACTTTGTGCAAAGTACAGTGGGTAACACTGTGTGGGCAGTGGGGCCCCATTTTGCTCTGGGGGGCCCTGACAAATGCCCAACCTTGCCCCCCTCTGGCCCCAGTTACTGCTGTTAATTTCTATACATCCACCAATGTCCAGGGCACATATTGTGTGTGGCATCAATGTCCCACCTCACAATGGAGAACCCTCCATGCTCTCACTAGTATGCAAGTGGAACTGCTTCTGATGTAGTCTGAGTGCTAGAGACCATGGCATGGAGCAGGGCCTGTCCATACAGCCTCACAAGCCCTTCCATATCACCTTTCAGCACACAGAGGGGGCTGTGTGACACACTCCCCTCCAGAGTAAGCCAAGTAAAAAATGGATCTCTGCTCAGAGATGCTTTCGATCTGACTTTGCAAAAGACAGAACAACAGGAGAGAGTGGAAGTCAGTGGATTTGTTCAATCTCTCCTCCTCTTTGATTTGTCTGATCTCGCTCTCTCCCTGCATGATTTCTGCCTGGAAAAGGCTGTCACCAACCAGCTTAGCACAAACAGGTAATGAAATGGACACACTCTGGATGTTTGGATATCTGAATCTGGTGTGTATAGTGAGGTTTGGGCACAATTCTTTATGTTTGGTTAAGTACATTTTCACATAGCGAGCAGGTGAAAGCAGAACCTTCAAACTGCACACAACAGGCTAGGATTGTATCATCCAAGACCTACCTTTTGTTGAACAGCTAATTAAATTGCTATGGGTTTTCTTTTTTCTTTTTTTGATTTGCAGCTGACTTGGAAGGAAATTCCCTAAGACGCAGGGATAAGAGGCTTAGCTTGAATTTGGTAAGTGCAGTACTGTCTTACACACAAACACACACACACTTATTTAGCATGGTTTTAGAAGTGAACATTAACAAGAAATTAACCAGCCTATGTCGTCTGATCAATATATAATAAATGGTTACCCAATCCAATGTAACAAAATAACAGTTAGCATTTCTTCATATGTTTAGGCCAAGGTTTCCCAAACGTGGGTCTCCCAACTGTTTTTGGACTATAATTCTATGGTTGCCATATTTCAAAAAGTGAACATCCGGATACAAAAGTTGAGCTCCAAAAAAAGAATTAAGTTCTCCCTCCCTATTTTTTAGGAAAATCGCCAAAAAATCAACACTTCCTATATCGGCTGCCATAATGCCTGGGTTTCCCCAGACATTTCAGCTGCTTTTCATAAATTTCACCCGAACACTATTTTCGACGGACAAATCTCGGCTATGTCCAGGAAATTCCAAACGTATGGCAGCCCTATACAATTCCCATCATCCTTGACCACTGGTCTTGCTAGCTATGCATGATGGGAGTTGTAGTCCAAAAGCTGGAGAACCAAGTTTGGGAAACACTGGTTTAGGCTGCTACTCTGTGCCCACTTACCTGGGAGTAAGCCCCATTGGACCAAATGGGCCTTATTTCTCAGTATAGTGGCAGTGGCTCTCCAGGGTTTCACACAGAGGACTTTCTCAGTGATGCCTGGAGACTGAACCTGCTGCCTTTTGCATGCAAAGCAAGTGCTCTTCCACTGAGAATTTAATTAATTAATTAATTATCCCTTCATCCAAGGATCAGAGGGTGGTTTACAATTGAAAAATACGAAATAACGCTGAGGATATATCAAAGGCTCTGTCCTCCTTCCACTGTCTTTTTCTGCCAAGGATGGTGCAGTCAGAATGTTGCAAATTCAAATCAAAGATAATGTGAGAGAGAGAGAGAGAGAGAGAGAGAGAGAGAGAGAAGGAATTGCTCCATTACATACATACATATTGACATGGTAAAAGCTAAACCAAGGTTCTTCAGCCTTCAGACCCCAGATGTGGTTGGACTACAAGTCCCATCATGCCTGGCCATTAGCTAAACTGTCAGGATTATGGGAGTTGTAGTTCGACAAAAACATATGGTGGTGGTGATTGATTGATTGATTGATTGATTGACATAGCCCCAATCTGAATTGGACTCACACAATGAGAGGACAGGAATGGAGTGTCCTGAAAGAAGGACTAGGCATAGAACACTAAACAAGAGCACTCCATGTTGCAACATTTTGTTGGAAGCCCCTACTGTCCATAATATTTATGTGTTAATTCATTTTCCATTCTACATTTCAAAAGAGGTCTCTGGGCAGTTTACAAATACCAACAAAATGGAATCGATGTAAGATATACAATGCCAATTCCACATTCAGAATGAAACAGTATTAATACCAAGTTTACTGTAATAATGATCACAATAATTCCACATTTTAAGTATGAACGGAAGGGATGTAGCTCGGTGGTTAAGCATCTGCTTTGCATGCAGGTTCAATCCCCGGCATCTGCAGGTGGAGTTGAGAGAGATCCTCGTCTGAAACCTTGGAGAGCTTCTGCCAGTCAGTGTAGAGGATACCAAGCAAGATGGACCAATAAGGCAGCTTCCTCTGTATGTTGTTCTAAAGTAACGTAATAAATTAAATATATTTAAACAATGTACCATATTTACTCGAATGTAATATACACCTTTTTTTGGCCAAGTTACTTTCTGAAAATTAGGGTGCACATTAGATTTGATGGTGTCAGCAAATACTTTTCTGGTTTCAAGGTTTTGAAAACTGAGGTGCGCATTTGATGCGATAGCATTTGCATAAATATGGTACATTAGTAAGGCAGCTAAAAACCACAAAAGCAATTTATATACATGATTCAGGTAGGTAGCTGTGTTGGTCTGACACAGTCAAAATAATTAAAAAAAAAATTGTCCAATAGCACCTTAGAGACCAACTAAGTTTGTTCTGGGTATAAGAAGTGTGCATGCACATGAAAGCTTATACCCAGAACAAACTTAGTTGGTCTCTTAAGGTGCTACTGGACAATTTCTTTAATTTTTTAAATTATATACAAAACAAGAAAAGACATCACAATAATAATACTAATATAGTTATTAGTGAGTCATCTTCCTCCTGGAAGAAAGAAATCCAAACTTCCAGTATGCCATTTTTTAGACTTAAAAAATTATTAGGGTGGAATTTAGCCCAGAGCTAAATGGGGTGTGCACACAGGAAATGGGGTCTGCTCATGAGGGCCATACAAGAAAGGCCTGAAAGGTTGCATTTAGCTCCTGATGTAGGACTCCAAGTTAGTCAGGAGGCTGAACCTGAGAGAATCCTGGGCAAAGGGGAGAGTGGATGGATAGGTCCAAGGTTTGGCACCTGATTTCTGATTTGGAACCCTTCTGTTAACCAACTTTCCCTTTCCCTGTGCTTATTTCTGAAGCCAAGTCGTTTTAGCCCTCTCTACTCCAGCACATCAATTAGTTCTGAGGACAGTTACGTGCCAATGCACCCCAGCATCTCCCCACCGATCCCAGGATCTGACTGCACACCTGACGGCTACATTCCCATGAGTCCAGGCTCAGCTACGTTTATCCGCTCTGCAGCCAGCATAGAAAAAATCTCCAGCCCTCTGCCCGAGCTCCCCACAGACCTGGAACCACCTCCGGTGAACCGGGATCTCAAGCCTCGTCGAAAATGTGAGCTTGTCTTTCCGCAAGCTGTTTTTTCGAGCACCTCTATGTGTTTATCTTGGGAGTTTCGGGAGTTGATTTGATGAGTCCAGCAAGTGGATATCGGGGACAGTGAACAAGTCCAGGACAAATTCAGCCTAGGGGCATGTCCTGAATACAGTGGCTAGGTCTGCAAGCTCCCATTTTAGTTTTCCACAGTGCCTTCACTGACACTCTGCTTCCAATTCTGCCATCAAGTAAGCCAGCGGTGGGCAGCCTCTGGCTCACAGGCCGAATTAGGCCTTCCGGACCTTCCCATTGGGTTTGTGAGGCTTTTTCAGTCAAACCACAACCACATTCCCTTCATATGAGTGGTGTGAAGCAAGTAAAAGTTGGACTGGGCTGAATGGGTGTTTGCTTGTGCTGCCAATCAGATTGGATGACACCTGCAAACCCTTGTGGGGATTGATGAAGCTTTCCGGGTTGTGGCTGTGCCCTCTTGGTTTGATTTCAAACTATCCACGTGAAAATGGGCCACCTGCTGTCATGGTGATGACAGGAGATTGGCAGATGACTGGCCCACAGAGGAGAGGGGATGTGATCTGCTGCCCAGATCCAGTTTCACAACCCTGAGGTATGCCCAGGGCTGAGGACCCACTAGTATATGAGGGACCCCCCCCCCCCCACCAGAGGCCCCTATGATTAATTTGATTTGCTCAAACTTGGAGCTGGCCTTGCAAAGGACAGAACAAACAGCTGACGTTTGAGCAAATACAACATTCATTGGGTGGTCACTTGTTAACTACAGGCTTGAGGTGTGTTTTTTCTATTCTCATAAGTCACTCAAGAAGTAGGTGTCTTTGGGACTGCAGTCTTAGTTGGGAAGCCAGGAGGTTGGCCTGGCTTTCCAGAGGAACTAAACTGGTATCTGAACTGTACAAAATCTGGCCTGTGGGAGTGCAGGCCAGAGCAATGTTAAAAAAAATATGCAGAGGTAGATGAGATGGTTGAGGAAAAGGACTTAGAGGCAGGAGATGTGGTTGTGGATGGGCTGTTGGTCAGGTTGCAGACGGGAAGAGATGGAGGGGCTTCATTGCTACTTGGTGAACAAGATGCTCAGACCAAGCCTGGAGCAACAGTTATTTAGAGCCAGTCAGGTCCCCATTGGTCTCCTCAAATCACCAGACCTGGGTTGTGTTGATGAGATTGCAGTACCTTCCCTGACCATTAAAAGGGTGTTGCTGTTACCCAGGAAAGATTGGACCAGAAACTCCTGCAGCCTGTGAGCTACTTTGGAGTAGCAAGAATATTTATTTTATTGCATTTATATCCCACCTTTTCTTTGAAGGAGAACATAGTTCTCACCCTCCTCAATCCCTACAACAACCATGTGGGGTAGGTTAGTCTCAGTGGCAGTGATTGATCACCCAGTGGGCTTCATGGCAAGTGGGGATTTGAACCCTGGCCTCCAAGGTCCTGGTCCAACACTCTAACCACTACACCACTGTGGCGCTCTAAAGAAATTAAGGAAGCTCTGCTACCTGAGTCCACAATATGAGCCCCCTGATGTCATAAATGTCCTTTCTTGGAACTGCTTCCATCCTGTTAAGTAACCAGCTACCCACACAGCAAGTTTACAACCGGATCTGCCCCTGTCCTTGGCCAGCTCTGTGGCAGTAAGAAGTCTTCTCTCTTTAAATCTTCAGTCCGACCACCTCCGCTGGACCTGCGAAACCTTTCCACCATCCGAGAACATGCTGCCTTAACCAGGACGTGGACTGTGCCTTAGTAAGTGGGTGTGAAACATGCCCCAACAATTTTTTTAGGAGATTGGTCTTGCCAGAGGAACTATTAAAATAGTATCCCTGGATTAGGGGTGTTTACCTAGTATCTTGCTGAGCTGTATGGTTCATGAATGAACAACTTACTGCTCTTTCGCCAACCAGGCCTCACACATACACTCATGCCTAATACAGACACCACAAAGCAGAGGTAAGTGTCAAAATAAGTACACACAGAATACATTTTTTAATTATAATGTTATAATATGTTTGGAGAGGCATACCAAGTCAAAGGGCATATAGGGTTTTTCACACTTAACTTTTTTCTGGTGGCATAGTTGTTCCCTTTGGTTTTCTGTTTTGTTTTGTTGCATACTGCCATATGACATTGCTATTATTCAGCTACTATTTCAGAATAATGTACTAAAAAAGAAAAGAATTTCTTCTTCTTCTTCTTCTTCTTCTTCTTCTTCTTCTTCTTCTTCTTCTTCTTCTTCTTCTTCTTCTTCTTCTTCCACATCAAATCTGACATTCATTAAGTTTTGGCCTTGAGGCCAGAAAGGACATCACCACACCTGATTTATACCCAAACAACGTTAATATAATTCACTTAAGCTATGGTTTTACTTGCAGAGAAGGAGAGCAAGTTTAAACTGCCAATGTTGAATCTGCCTTTTATATTTCTAACATACTTCCTCCACAAGCTTCCATACTATAACAAACACAGCATGTATTATTTGCAACTAATTAGAGCCAGTATACAATCCTGGAGCATAAATTCCACCTAGGCTGGATCTAGAAGCATCAAAGAAGTGTTTCAGTTAAACGAGTTGCAAATTTTGTAAGAGAAATTGGGTTGGTAAAAACGGAACTCCACAGCGCCATCTGGTGTCACAGTGTTAGAATGCATAAACCGCATCTAAAGCACTTCTTTGCCAATGTAGCCGAGTTCCTAGTCTGTGTGCCTGATGCACACATCTGCTTAGGGAAGCAACTGAAACAATCATTTCTGTTTCTAAACCCGTGTAAGGCATAGGTGTAAGATAATTCACTTGAAGATAAACTTTCTAGAAGGAAAGGGTAGTGGTAGAGTTGGGAAGAAAGGTGTTTCCCTGTGACATGGAAAGTAATTTGCATGCTGCTTAGTGGACAAACTCCAAATATTCATGATGTACACAGCAACATATGCAATATATGGCCTATTGTGTCCTTATAATGCTCAACCTCAAGTCAAAAACTACATATTTTTGCTCTTGTTCATAGAATTTTGAACAGAGCATTTTTTTGCATAGAAAAGCAGACTATGTTTGATGAAGGACCATGATTATGTGTGTAAATTATAATATGTTTGTATTATATTCAGATAACATTTTAAACCAGGTTTGTTTATGTCTTAGTGGAACTTGATATTTAAAATCCTATATAGATTCTTAAAATCTATTTTATAATTTCAGTTTTTTAGAAAAATCAATCCTTGCTCTGAAAATCTTCACTTTTTGCATTTTATGCTATAAGGATAGCAAAATAAAAAATAAATAGGAAGCTGACTTGACTATTGCTTGAAGATGACATTTCTAAGATCAAGTGTAGTGTAGCTGTGAATGTTGAACAAACATCAGCCCAAAGCAAACATCATTTGATACACTGATTCGGTTGCACTGTTTCTGTGAGTTATGGGCAAATAAATTGTGCTTCACATGTAGTGTTGACCCAACCTTGTTTAGTTTTAATGACATTTCTTTTAAACATTAGCATTCCTTACAGGAAAATTATTTATATATTGTCTCATTCCACAGGGAGACTGTAAGCAAAGTTTCTAAACAAGCTTTCAATACAAATTCTGTGGATCTCATCCCTGCTTTTTAAGAAGACAAGAAAATGTTTTTCTTTCCTCCCAAAATTAAATTGGCTTCAATTAAACAGAGAGATTTGCATCATTTTTGCTTTAAGATAGCACATGTCTTTGCAAGCTCAATAGTGATCTTTGGAGCAGGGATAACCAACGCAGTGCCCTCCAGATATTGTTGCACTGCAGCTCCCATCACCCTGGACCTTTGGCCATGCTGACTTGGACTAAAGAGAGTTTGAATACAGCAAAATTGGAGAAGGGCTATAGCTCAGTTTTAGAGCATCTGCTTTGCATGCAGAAGGTCTAAGTTCCAAAACCTGGAAGCTCTAGGTAGGACTAGGGCAGAATCCTGTCAGTCATTGTAGACAGTATTGAACTAGATGGACCAACAGTCAAATTTGGTATAAGGTAGTTTCCTTCATTCCTAATATCTGGTGATCACTACATTGGCTATCCCTACCTTGAGGGGTTCCTGCCTTTTTCCTGGCACCCCAGGGAGTTTCCTTAGTAAACCAGATTAGGTGGATATGTAGTTATTCTATCTTCACAACTGTTTTGCTCCAACGGATGTCTCCAATGGAAAGAGCATTCTGGCTAAAGTAGGGGGTTCATGGAAAAAGAGGTCAGGTTTCTGCAAGCAGCGTTAGTTGAGGCAATGCAAGATTGGAATGGATGGCTCCATGTGAAACTCCAGCTAGAGCAAATTGTATTAGAGCGTACAAAGAGGTCAGGCCAGAGTTCAACATCCTGTTCTTACAGGATGTTATGGGAAGCCCATAAGCAGGACCTGAATGCAACAACTGTAACCAGCATCCGTTGTGAATGTTGCTTCAGCAACAGATAACTCATAACGGAGTATTTAAGCAGAGGTTTATCTCAGCCAGGGTGGTTAGCTCTGCCCATGATGGGAGAAGCCTATTTAGTTAAAGAGGCCTTGCTTGTTTCAGCAGACATTTGAGAATTTTGGTTGCAGCTACAGAGTTAATTCAGTATATTTCAGTATTGTTGTAAGAAGCAGTAAGCTTGTTACCTATTCCTTCCACTTCTTCTCCCCAGCCTAGTTTCTTCATTCTCACACATACATACATACATACATACACACACACACACACATAAATATATATATGTGTGTGTTTATGTGCAAAACACAGGAATATATATTTCTATCAGTATTAACTGAGCCTAAATTTCTCAGACATTAGCTTTCTGAGAAATGTTCTGCTTTCATACCATCGGGCAAAACACTGGGGAGAGAAGCAATATCAGGAACATAATTCTAGATGGACAGAAGGTGAGAGGGGAAAGGGTTAAGAATTCCTTCCCCTCCGCCATACCTGTGCTCCAGCTGATTCTTCATGGCACCTGCTTTTCAATTAAAAAATCAAGTCCTCCATAGACTTTTCACTATCTCCTTTTGGGATGTTCAGCCTTCCCCAACTTGTTACCCTCCAGAAATTTTGGGCTACAGTTCTGATAATCTCTGACCATTGGCTGTTCGTGCAAGCGCTGATGGGAGTTGTAGTCCAGAATGTTTGGAGAGCTGGTCTAGTTTACCCTGAGATGGCTTGTGCTCCAGTTCTGCTTGTGAGTATGCACTCTCTCTCTTCATCCCTTCTTTCTTGGCCATTTAGTATAGCTAGCTATGGATGGTGGCACAATCATACTGATATTGTAACATATCCACTGCATTGATCTGTTCCTCAGTACTTACTACTGGTCTACCAGAGTTCTATTAGCCTGTCCTCTTAGAGGAGGGGTAACCAGTGTGGTGCCCTTCAGATGTTGTTGTAATACAAAGTCCATCACCTCCAGCCACCATGGTCAATTGTTAGGGATGATGGGAGTTGTAGTTCAGCAGCATCACACGTCCTAGAGATTTCAGAGAGGATCAGGCTGTTGGTTATGTGTGAATGTTGTAGTCCAAACTGGGAAAGCGTTGTTGTTGTTGTTTCTATACAGTGGTACCTCGGGTTAAGAACTGGAGGTCTGTTCTTAACCTGAAACTGTCCTTAACCTGAAGCACCACTTTAGTTAATGGGGCCTCCTGCTGCCGCTGCGCCGCCGCTGCACAATTTCTGTTCTCATCCTGAAGCAAATTTCTTAATCCGAGGTAATATTTCTGGGTTAGCGGAGTCTGTAACCTGAAGCGTATGTAACCTGAAATGTATGTAACCTGAGGTACCACTGTACTGTTATTTCTATCTGAGAATGAGAGGGCAGTTTGCAATATAAAAACACAAAAATATATACCATAGTAATAAACAATAGTAATACCCCACCCACCCAGTTTAAAAGGCCATAGTTTGTTTAATGAAAGGCATGGGAGAAGATGAATGTTTTTGTTGGATGCTTAAAGATATGTAACAAAGCACTACTTTTGCACACTTGAAGATCTGTGCTAGAGCCCTGAACCAGCTTTGTAAGATGCTTCCATTTGCATTTACCTGGTAAAACCAGGGAGTGCTTGCCCCTGAAGTTGGTAAAAAGATGGGACAGTGAATAAAAGGATAACGTTCATTGATGAACACTGGAAATATCTAGCTTGCCAGCTTTCCTCTTAAGATGATGTCTTGAGAACTTGTGGTTGGTTTGAAAAACATTACACAGACATATCTGGCAATGGATTTGGCAGCATTTTTTACTTTGTAAGACGACTGAGTAGCAGACATTTCCCATGTGCAAATAACTTATATTTTTGCAGATGATTCACGGTGGTTGCAGTTCCTCTGCATATAGCTGCAGTAGCTAATTAATTTGTTTCTGCCTCCAAAACTGTTGCTAGCCATACAGCAAGACAAGTGCTTAGGCCCCTGATGTGATGGACATTTGCCTCTGTTTATGCTCCTTCCTTGACCATTCTTTGATGTCTGCAGCTTTCCCATAATGCCATGGCGGCCATTTTTACTGTCAGATTCGATTGCAGAAATGACTAATTTCCCAAGAGGACACTGATGAGATTGTAACCTCCTTTGTTAGCTAACTTAACCTCTGTAGTGTTGCTGGGCTTTGGGCGGGCTTATTCCCCACACTGGGCAACGTCAGGTTTTGGCTTGGTTTCAGAGCATCTGTGAAAACTCTTCTTTGACTTCTCTTTTGTTTGTGTTTTGGGTTTCCCCCACCCTCCTCCTCCTCCTGCACTAGCAATCGAACAAGCTTTATCTCTCCAGAAAGAGACTGCATTAATTCAGCGAGAGTATTTGCCAGTTCAGTTTCCGGAGAGGAAGAAGAAAGTTACATTCAAATGGTAATCATTTTCATGCAACTCTCCTTTGACAAATCATGTGAGCGGAAAGGCTCAGAGAAGTCAAATTTTTCAGCCAAACATGTGGCAGGGGCTCCCCTTTGCCCTACTGAAGAAATTTAGTGCAGGCACACAAGGGCCAATTGACGCAGTGATAAGGGAAGCCTTTTTCCCATTCCTACAGATCTCCGTTGTTCCCACAAGTGTTGGTGGCACATCTCCAAGCAATCTCAAACATATACATGGTGATTTGCTGGAGGCAAAGAGAGAACCTCAAAATTTCCCCTACCATTTTTAGACAAGAGCCTTTATGGAACCCCTTAAGAGCGCACAAAACTCCAGGGAGATATGTTGGGGAAAGATTGTAGCTTGATGGTTGAGCTAGCGTTTTCTGTACAAAAGACCCCATGTCTTATTCCTGTATTTCCAGCTAGGGCTGGAAAAGAGATGCTGCCTGAAACCCTGGAAAGTCATTGCCAGTAAGTGTAGTAGATAACCTTTCCCTAAACTGGTGCCACCCAGATGATTTGGACTACGGCTCCTGCATGGCCCAAGTATGTTGGGAGCTGTAGTATGACAAGCGGACCAGGTTGGGGAATAGGGGTGGAGATGTACTAAACTAGATAGACCAGTGGTCTGTCTCTGTATATGGTATGTTCTAAGCCCAAACACTACAAGGAAGGATTGTAGCACAGTAATAAAAGTAACTGCTTTACATGCTGTGGGGCTACATTCAGTCCTTAACATCTCCAAGCAATGTTGGGAAAGACTACCAGAAACCCTGGATAGCCACTGCCAGTGAGGGCAAAACAGGGGTAGCCAATGTAATGCCCTCCAGATGTTGCTGGACTACAACTCCCATTATCCCTGGCAATTGACCATGCTGGCTGTGGCTGATTGGAGTTGCATCCTGACAGTATCTGGAGGACAGCACATTGGCTACCCTTAATGTAGGAAACACTGAGCTACAAGGGCCAGTGATCTGACTCGGTGTAAGGCAGCTTCCTATGTTCCTAACATTTTGTTGTCTTTTTGCATTGTACAAGGATCACCCTCCAGATCATTTGCAGGGGGCATACCTCCTAGCAGAACCCCATAATCCAAAACATCTGGGGAGCACCAGGTTGGCCAAGACTGCAGTCTATGCAAATGTTTCCCTTGAACAACAGAGGTGCCTTAAATGGCCTGGTGAGAGCCAGGACGAGAAGGATTGGGAGCCGTAGAAATGTTGAAATAATATGGAAGCTGCCTCTCTTGCTAAAGCATGATCATGGTTGTAGTGCAGGGGTGGAGAACCTTTTTCGCCCAATGGGCCAGTTCTTTAATTCCCACCTGCACAAGATACCTGTGACAAGTGGATGGAACCACCCACCTGTGTTGGCCACTGGGGGTGGCCACTGGGGGTGGCGGGAGGTAGAGGCTAAGCAGGAATGAACAACTTGTGCATCAGCTGATGGGTTGAGGGTTCAGTCCTTTCTTCAGCAATCAACCCTTTAAGGAATTTGGCATGGACAGCCAAACTGAGCAAGCTTTAATCCCCTCCTCACCCATCAGTTAGTGGGTAATCGACTTTCTGCAGCAATCAAGCCTGCCCATCAGCCCTAGTAAACCAAATTGGAAAACCTGGTGAACCAATATGATTTGTGGGCTGAAGGCTTCCTGCCCCTCCTGTAGAACATGAGGGAAAGGAGGAGAGTCTATAGGTAACACACACACACACACACACACACACACACACACAAAACTTTTAAATTTGTTTTGACAATGCCTATTTCTTCATTTTCTTATGGTCATGGTTCATTCTCAACAGGAGCAAGCAACATCTCCATGCAATGGAGCATTCCAATGGCCAAAGAACTTCAGCCTTGATTATTTAGCACTGGATTTTAATTCCGCTTCTCCGTCTCCTGTACAAAAGGTAGGCCTTGCTCACAACAACTTCTGCTGCTGCTCCCTGACATCAGTAATAAAAATTAAATGGTGGCATGTAATATCCAATACCTGCTTCCTTTTTTTCACAAGTGAGCAGAGTATTGTTAGTGCTTCTTTAAATAAAGGGTGGGGAATCTTCGCCCAGGAGCTGAGTGTGGCCCTCCAGGCCTTTGTATCTAGCCCTTGGAAACTCCCCAGAACATACTCCTCACTGGCTCTGTTTCACACCCTAAATGTTTTTGCCTGGCTGCCTCTTGCTTGCCTCCATGGAAGTTGAAAAGGGGAGCAAATATGAAGATAAAAGTCACATCCCTTGCTCTACCAACTTTCGCCTCTGACCCTGCTTGCCACTGGCATATAGTCCCCAGAAAGTCACCAAAAGGGTATGCTCCCCTTGAGTTGAAAAACATTCCCCACTCTTGCATCAGAGGCAATTTTCTGGGTTCGAAACCCACTCCAGTCTTGCCTGATCAAGAGCTTTAACTTAGAGGAAAACCATTTTCTGTTCATCTCAAGGTGAACATATCACTGTACTGCACTTTCCTGTGTCTGCCAGGCCTGTTCTGGGCTGTGTGACAGGGTAGCAGATGGGGAATTATGTCTGAAACCAGTAGCAAGACAACAGGCATGCTTGCTTGCTGATGTCACCCCTGGCTTCAAGGTGAAAAAAGAAATGCCAGCTAAGGTTGGAGAGGAGGGGAGGAATTGACAGAAGCCCAACTGTAGCTGTGTTCATGTTTTGCACGTCCTCACGTATGTTTGTTTGTTTGTTTCATTTCCTTCACCTTGGCAGAAACCTTTCCTCTCTGAAGAACAAAGAGTGGATTATGTCCAAGTAGATGAGCAAAGAACTCAAGCTCTCCAGAACACTAAGCAGGAATGGACAGATGAAAGGCAATCCAAAGTTTGAAGAGAGAAGCGTTGACTAGCTTGAATTTGCACATTAAAATCCAGAAAGTTTGGATGATTCAGCAGTGGCAGTGCAAAGCAGAAGTCTCCGGCATTATGAAATAGTGATGGTCAGCCGCTTTCTTTAGAAGCCACATCTTTTTGGGGTGGAAGGAGCACATCACTGAGAGAGGATTGAGTTTTACTATGTCCAGATCACATAGTCACTATCATCTTCTCAATCGCTCCTTCCAGGAAGGACCTGTGGTACCATTTTAACACCTGAATTTGGTCCTCTCTAAACACTTAATGGGAACAAAAGTCTTGCAATGTCACACGAAACACTGCAATTACTTACTTCTGTTTTAGATATATGTATATAAATGTATATATTCCTGCCTATTTAACAGATGCTGCATCTACTGTAGTGTCTGGTACTGACAGGTGTTTGAGAATAAGGGCTAAACGTTGGAAACAATTTAAAAACAAACTTTTTTTTTTGCAGGGGTGGGGGGAGTGGGAGTTGAGGATTTCCCTTAGTATAATATGTTTAACTGTCATTCATTTATTGAAGAATGTAAATAGAACTTTGCACTGTTGGCAGTGGAAATAATTGTTCCCCTCTTGTGCTCATCATGCATCATGGAAAACTCACATCCACCACAGTTAATCTTGCCCTACTTTCGTGGCCACCTTTCCTTCTGATGCGCTCACAATGCATTTGGGGTTTTCGTTTTCCTTCTGTTATGACCTGTGCTGCAAGGAGTTGCTTCCAACGTAGCACAAGGCCTACTGTGCATCCTCTCACTTAACTGAACCTTTCCGAAAGAAATCAATGGAAGCAGCAGAGCTACTTCTTCTTTCATTAAAACAAAGCTGTGACACAGTCGGTCAAGCACCAGAAAGCATTATCTACACAGTAAAGGAAGAAAATGGCATTGAGATACACAGGGATAGTCATCTGGCTTATGGATCTCAACCAGGGCATTCGTCCCAGATGGCAGAGCAAGGATTTTGCTCCCACCGTTGATGCTAGGAAATGACTGGAACAGACTTGCTAAAGCCTTTTAGCAGTATTATATTTCACTTCACATTTAGCCTTCTTTTAATAAAAATAAATGAGAATATAGCAACTCCGGTCTTCTGTTGGGGGCAGTGGTTTGCTAAATTGGGACTGTTTTAATGTTTCAAAGGGCTTCCACTCCCCCAGTTACCACCTCTCCCTCCCCATCCCTGCTGACAGGGCTCCTTTGTTTATAACAGCTTAGTAGCAGGCTGAAATTGAACCAATGAAGCTTTCACTAATCACTGCTCCTACATACACTGCTGGGGCCGGCTACAACACTGCTGCCTGTACAGACACTGCCAGTAAAGAAAAGGGTAACTGCCAATAATTAGGTCTTGCAAACAGGTTCATTTCAATGAGTTGCTTGGTAGGGGTGGGCAACATGTCACCCTCTAGATAGTCATGGACCAGAACTCCCAGCATTCTTGACCATTGGCCATGCTGGTTGAGGTGGATGGGAGCTGGGGGTCCAGCAACATCTGGATGGTCCCAGATTCCCCATCTCTGATGTTAGCACTGTGCAAGCTCCCTGTCCCTCTTTCAGTTCAAGGCACAATTCAGTTTGGATCAATTCACACCCAACATCCAAATCAAAATTCGGAGATCCGAATCTTCAGTCCTCAGAGAGGCATGCATTGGGAAGCCAAAATGACCACAATCCTCCCCCTAGATGCATGACATTTGAATACATGGTAGCTCCTCCAGAGAGGGTTTCAGATAGGTAGATCCAGGGGTTTATGTGCTAGCCACCTTTAAAGCTTGTCCCCCCCCCCCACACAAATAAAGTGTTTCAAAAGTAAAATGGCTGTAACTTCGGTTTTTTTGCATATAACTGCCTGCAGCTTGAAGACACCTGGTATGAGGTTGTCTTGTTAATAATTGGATTTGAACGTTACTTTCCCCTTGTTCATTGCCCATCTGCAGCAATGGCAGAGAGCAGTGGTGGGATCCAGCCCCACGTCAGAATAGTATCACAGATTGCCTTCAGTCTGAAGGTGTCAATACCACCACAGGAACAGTGAGGGTGTCAGAGGAAGCATTTCCTGATGGCACTGGAGAGCATATCTGTTGCTGCTCCCCACCCTCAGCATTCCAAACGGAAGAACTCCTCCTCAATCCGCCTGAGAACCTCAGAGACAGACACCGCCTCAGAGATGCTGATGTCTACCAATGGGCTGGACTCAGTCCCTTCTGTTACCAAAGGGGAAGCCCCTGCCAGGCTGCTGCTGCCAGTGCCTACTCCATCCTCAAATGATTGCATGGCTATGGGACCAGGCTTGCACCTGCTACCAAAAAACCCCCTCAAGACAGGCAAGAAACCACACAGGCTGCTGCTACTGCCCACCACCCCAGCAAGCAGTCCTAGGATGGACCAGGCTGACTGGTGGCAAACTAATCTAGCCAGTGGTGGTGCTGTTGCTGCCAGCATCTCTGGCCCCTCTGTCTCTGGTGGCACCACAGCTGCCCTGTGGAAGTGTGCTGCTTTTTTACTGTAGGTGTATGGTGTATTCAGAAGACGGACACCTACAAATGCAGAAAACAACACATCTGTAATGCAAACCTAACTAAAAAACTAGGGCCATTTTGGGGAAGGGCATAAGGGAAGTGACACTGCCTAAGCAACAAACACTAAAGATACAGACAATAAACAGGGTTTTCATTTTTTTAGAATAAGATTAGGATTGGGAAAGCATTGTAAAACAAACAGGTATGTAAGAAAGAATGCTGGTATCAACTAAAGGCTAACAAAAGACAAGCTGAACAAAACCCACCAAATTTGTGCTGACATTCAAGAGAACTTGCAAAACAGTAAATGTCTCTGAGAGAGAGAGACGCCTGTAACAGTTCACCACCCTCCCACACTGTGATTGGCTATTAATGAGCAAAGTTCAAATTCCCCTTTCCCCACCCTGGTAGTCCCCTTACATGGCATTGATTTGCAACACTTTGAAGACAAGCTGTCTGTTTTAGGGAGTGTTTTGCTGTGACTGGCTTGAGAGATGCCTTGACATGTTTCAGGCCTGCTTCAGTTTGGGATCTGTCCAGAGCAGTCACACAGCCCTACATGACATAGGTGGTTGACAAGTTTTGTCATTTCAAGCCATGAAATTATTATATACATGAGTGTTGGAATGTTGATCAACATAACATCCAGTTGATCAACTGGATATTTCTGTACCATTAGGTAGAGTATGTTGCAGAGCTGCAGTTGTAGGAACATAGGAAGCTGCCCTACACTGAGTCTATTTAGTTCAGTATTATTGACACAGATTTGGCAGCAGCTCTCCAGTATTTCAGACAGGACATATGCCCAAACCTACATGGAAATTCTGGGGGTTGAACCTGGGACCTTTCGCATGCCAAGCAACTGCTCCCCTACTGAGCTCTGGCCCTTCTAATGCATTGACCGACTAGATCAGGAAAGGAAAACTGTGTCCCTCCATATTTTGTTGGATTGAACTCCCACTGGACCTGACAGTTGGCCATAGTCTCTGGGCCTGACGGGAACTGAAGTCTCAAAAATACCTGAGTGCAAAAGCTTTCCCATACTTGGACTAGATTGATCATTTATTCCAGCAAGAGTTGTATTTTCCATTTCTTTCTATATAGACCACCTAGTTCAGATGCAGCATGTCACTTAGTGGTGGCTGGTGCTTACTGGGACTGGCAGGGTGGAAAGCAGTGAGTCCAACTGTAGATGGAGCCAGAGCCAATGACAAACAGAGCCAACTTATTCCAGTTTCTTCTTTGTCCTCCATGCTTCTGACTACAATGGTTATGTTTTACCTCCAATTTCAGAGGCAGCATGCCTCTTCATACCAATTGCTGGGAATCGCAGGTGAGCAGAGTGATGTTGTGCTTGTGTCCTGTTTGCAGGCTCCCCACAGGCATCTGGTCACCTAGTATGAGAACAGGATGCTGGAGTAGATAGGCCACTGGCCTGATCCAGTAGGCTGTTCTTAATGTTCTTGCATCCTGCCAAGTTCTACAAAGGCAGAACAGAAACTAATGAGGTGGAGGCAGCTGATTACCAGGGTCACCACCTGGACTGGTGCTAAAGGGGAGGCAGGTAGGGACTGATGGGGTAAAAATGGTGGGAGAAGGATGTTGCCTTCATGTCTCGTCTGTGGACTTCCAAGAGGCATCTGTCAAACCACTGCTGGACAAGGTGGAGCCTTGGTCTGGTCCAGCAGGGTTGTTCTTGTGTTCTTACAAGTGGGGCATGTGAACAAATATTGCAGTGTGGGGTGCTCCTGTCCAGAGTTCCAGCCAACCAACCAACCAACCAACCAACCAACCAACCAACCAACCGTGTCTTCTTTCAGTGGACTCCATTACATTTTCCTCCCTGTGGGTTGATGCACATGCACCCAAAAGAGCAAGGGACAACTTTTTGGGACCAAAACCATACAGTTTGATCAATGAGCCCAGACAAAATATTTCAATAGGTATTCACTGTAACATTTTCTAACTGAAAGCCTTATATAGATATTTAGCCTTATAAGTGGGACTTGTGGTGGAATGGTGCAGTGTGAAGAGCTCCAGTACAGTGTGCCAGCCATCTAGTCATAACCATTTCCCAGGACACTCCATTACATTTCCCCTCCACTAGTTTCCAATCCCAAGCAGACATTTAGCATTTTATAGGTGCTAAAGCATGCACAGTCCTCATTGGGCTGCTTGGGAGATTTCTGTGCCCCCTTAAATCCCCACCCCCAAGTAATTGTTTCTATTTCTGCAAACCTTCTGCTAGCATGCCAATTCCTCTTTTGTTTCTCAGGATCCCTGAGATGTAGCCATGATGTTTGTGCATATTCAGTAATACACACATCCACAAAATGAAGTGCTAACTCAGTTATAAATATTCATCATTATTAGTATATATTCTGAAGGCTTTGGTGTTGCATATGCTACAATCAGAAGGATACAAAGAAGATTGGCATGAATGATGCCTACCCTGCTCTTCAGCTATGAAGGCTCTCATAGTGACTTAGTGACTGACATACAATCAATTTAAACAAGACAGTCCCTTAAAAAAAAAAAGACACGCAAGGGGACAGGGAAGGAAATGGGGGGTGGAAGCAAACTCAGGCACCTGTTCTCTTATAGCTTTCTAGCTGGCATAGAGACAGTTCAGGTGAAGGAGGCTCCTGATGGAGCTCGTCTTCCAGCAAAGTTGAGGAAATAGCTCTAACGAAGTTGTCACAAGGTGCAGAAAGTCAATGATCTCTCTGAAGATAAGAGGACAAAGTGCTGATAAAGGGAAGTGAGGAAATACTACAGGGGCTGGTGTGGAAATGTGGAGAACTTCAGACTGGAAAAATTAAAAACAGAGAAACTGAAATTGACAGATTCACCCATCTCTAATCTTCAGGTCAACTGGCTTTGTGCTCTGTTTTGTTGCGTGGGCAGGGAAAATAGGACATTTTAAGAACTTAATTTCCCTGTACATTACAAAACAAAGCCTGTTTGACTTCATTCCTAAAGATGCTTCTGCTGCAAGCAAATATACAGTGGAGCTGTTTCTAACAAAATCAGGCTGGTCTAAGCCAGGAGATAATCACAAATGACTTTACAGCTCCTCTGGTCTTTCTGCCCACAATGCCTGATTAACAAATCAGATCCCAGAACAGGTATACTGAACATAATAGCAGCATTTTTTTCCTATTTACAATGCTCAGGTTGTGAGCGCCTTCATTTACATTACCATGGGACCATCCACGGACAAGAAGATTGTTATTAGTAGTATTCATTTTGTTTCTATTCCACTTTGTATTTTTAAGAAAATATCTCAAAGCGGTTTACAACACATTAAAAAAACAAGTAATCCAGAATAAAACATTACTGAAGAAAGTCCAATATAAACTATGCATTCAAAGCAACATAATTAGTAGGAAGCTAAAAGATTTCAAAATAAAACATTATGAAGGAGGTCAGTTACAGAATGCGCATTTAGCACAGTAAAGTTAACAAAAATAACACATTTCAAAAGAAAACATTTAATAAAGGGAGTCAAATGTAAAATGCACATTTAAAACAACATAATTCACAAGAGAATGAAGTATTATCATAAGCATAGAAGATACCTGCTGCTGTTCCTGCCAATGGTGGTTCATGTTGGGTGATGGCTGTGGAAGCTCAGGGCTTCAGTCCTATACCTCCTGTGCTATAACAAGTCTGTGCATGTGACTGTTAACCAGAAGGCTGGTGGTTTGTGCCCACCAAGGGATTGGCTGAGGGCAAGATTCCTGCATTGCAGGAGCTTGGACTAGATGACCCTCTTTCAACTATACAATTCTATGAGTCTATTTGGAAGCCTTATTGATCTCAGTGGAACTTTCTTTGGGCTAGGAATGTATGTGCTTATGCCATAAGTCATATAAATCTAGGCTAAGGAATTTATGTGCTTGCCCTTTCAGAAGCATTTTGCTATGCTCTCCAAGTTTAACTCTCACGGACATGCCAAATAGTTAAGCTGCTTTGTTTTTTTTGGTTTTTTTATGTAGCAGGAAAAAGGAAGTGAATATCAGATCAGGAAGTGGTGGAGCAATTGTATTACTAAATGTGTAACTGGAGCAGAAGTCAGCTGAAAACATCTTGGTTTGGCTGATGTATTGGCTCCTGTCCTGAAACACTGTTTGCATGAACCGGTTTTACTTTGCTTTTTTGTCCCAAGCTGAGACATATTTTGCTGCTAACCTGCCTCTCTGAGCTTTGATAGCAGAAAATGCAGATATTAATGAGTTCCAAAACCCTCTATTCTGAGTTCAAAAGCTTGTCACATTTACATCATACATTTGAAGCACCTGTCATCCCCCAGAGAATCCTGGGAACTGTAGTCTGTCCCTGACAGAGCTACAATTCCCAGCACCATTCTTCATACTTGGGTGTAGGAATATGCATTGATTTTAAAAGCTTTACAGCAGCCTTCACTAACCTCTGACTGGAGCTGATGGGAGTACTAGTCTGAAACATCTGAAAGGCACCAGGTTGTCAAAGCCTGCCTTGCAGCATTGTGATTTTCATTTCTTTCTTTCTTAGTGCTGCTGCCTGTCCATATAAACTGCTGATTTATTTCCTGTTTTCTTTTTCCATATGCTGCGTCTGCAGAAGCTGGAGAGAGAGAGAAAGCGTTTTAAGTGTAGCATTTCAATGTAAAATGTAGAGTGGAGATGAGGATATTTCACACCTGCTTTTGAGAAAAGAAATGCATTTTGCTTTCTGGGTGCTAATTAGGTACAGCAAAAGGATGAGGAATCCCACCTGCAAATGACGTGAACTGCTCACAGGGGACAAAAAGAACTACTCTGAACTGCAGCCATTTTTGGTAGCTGACGTTTAGGCAAAAAGATCTTAAGCAACCTCCAAAGAACTCAAAACGGTACATATACCGTATTTTTCGCCCTATAGGACACACTTTTTCCCCTCCAAAAATGAAGGGGAAATGTGTGTGCGTCCTATGGGGTGAATGCAGGCTTTCGCTGAAGCCTGGAGAGCGAGGGGGGCGGTGCGCACCGACCCCTCTCGCTCTCCAGGCTTCAGGAAGCTACCCGCAAGCCTTGCAAGCCCGGTGGGCTTTGGTTCCCCGACCTGGTTTGGAGGCCGGCGGTGGGGAGAAGCACGCTTCTCCCCACCGCCAGCCCCACAAGCTCGGAGGACAGCGGGGAGGCGGAACGCCGCCATCCCACTGTTCCCCGACCTGGTTTGGGCTTCAGGCAGATATCCGCAAGCTGTGGGAGCCCGGCGGGAAGTTGCGCCAGTCTCCCAAGGCTTGCGGAGAGCTGCCTGTTCTGGGGGCTGGGGTCGGGGGAAGCTCGGGCTTCCCCTGCCCCAGCCCCGCGCCTGGGGGGGAAATATTTTTTTTTCTTTATTCCCCCCCCCAAAAAAACCTAGGTGCGTCCTATGGGGCGAAAAATACGGTAGCTCAATGGCAGAGCATCTGCTCTGCATGCAGAGGATCCCAGGTTCAATCCCTGGCATCTCCAAGTGCAGCTGAGAGACACTCCTTCCTAGATCCCTGAAGAGCCGCTGTCAGTCAATGTTGATGTACCAATGGTCTGACTCAGTATAAGTCAGCTTTCTTTCAGATGTGTTGGGCTGTAGCTTAGTGCTTTGCATACAAAACATCCCAGGTTCAATCTGCAGCACTTCTACCTAGGGCTGGGAATATCCCCTGCCTACAACCATAGAGCACCACTGCCAATCTGTGTAGACATCACTGAGCTGGAGAGACCGGTGTGTTCTGACTTGGTATATAAGACAAGGAACTGGGCACCTCCAGACCTGCTTTGCTTTAGCAGCTGCTGCATCATGTGCCTTAAGACAATTGCTTTTAAACCTGTTATATGCTAGGCAACACATTGCTTAAGGGGTTTGCAGAACTTTTGTACTATTGCCTTTTAATGTGTTGCTGTGGCAGCAAACTTCAGGGTCTGCTTTGTAGTGGTGGTGTTTTTTGCGTTGTTGTTTTTACTAGAACTCCAAGATCCACCATCCAGAACCAGGTGCAAAAGACATTCATGTAGAATGCAAATATTCTTCGACTAGATATGTGTGTCATTCAATATTATGCAATTGGCATCAGGGGACATCCTGAAGCTAAATATTGTGTGTCTCTATCTGTGCGTGAGAGAGAGCTTTCTTTATTTTAGCAGCATCATTCACAAGAAGAGGGCAAGGAGAGTGGTTTTGTTGCTGCCATTCCTAAAACAACTGGGAGACAGAAACCCTTGCCAATCTACCTTCTGCCCATGCTGTACTGTAACCTTCAACAAGAGTCACTTTGAACTGCTTTTTACTATTGGGCCTGTAATGCTTTGGACTCAGAAGGAAAGGAATAACAAATGTCCCTTCCTGAGAGATACCATAGAGAATAATCAGAAGAATCTGGGGTGGCTGGACCAGTTTGAATGAAATAACTCCAGATGAGAGCAACATTAACACACGTTTCAGTTTTGCAAATTTGGAAAAGGCAATAAGCCCAAGGAAGGAAGTATTATACACCTATTTACTGTACCTTGGCCTTTAACACCTGAGATCTGCATACACATCGTATCGTTAAAGCACTTGATTTCCTCCTGGAAACTTTCCCCAAAGACTCCTGATAAACATGCAGGGAATTGTAGCTCTATGAGGGATAAACTACAGTACCCAGGATTCTTGTAAAGGGGGAAGTGCTTTAAACGTATGGTATGTATGCATATCTATATTAATTATTATTATTAATAATAATTTCATTTCTATATCGCTTTATACTTTTAAGAAAAATCTCAAAGCCGTTTACAGCATATTAAACATCAATAAAGCAATCCAGAATCAAACATTTCTGAAGAAAGTCAAATATAAAGTATACAGTCAAAGCAACATAATTAACAGGAAACTAAAATGTTATCTTAAAGATTTCAAAATAAAACATTACAAAGGAGGGTAAACTACAGAATACATATTTAACACAAAGTAAACAAACAAATCTTAAACATTTCAAAAGAAAACATTGCTAAGTGAAGTCAAATATAAAATGCACATTTAAAACAGCATAGTTAACAAGAGAATAAAGTATTATCTTTTTTAAAAAAATAATTTTTATTCATTTTCCAAACAAGTTTTATACAATCAACAGATTGTTTTACACTCATGCTTCAATTTTTGACTTCCCTCAGTTTCTCTGTCAATCTTTCGAAAAATTTCTATTTATTGACGCATTTCTAAACATGATATTGCCTTTCCCCACTCCTTTTCCTCTTACTCTCTTTTTTGCAGTATTTCTTACTATTTCACAGAGTCTCTTCAAAACCAACAAGCGTTGTCTGTACATCACATATATTTTTCAGATATTCTGTAAATTTCCCCTAGTCCTCGATAAACTTTTGGTCTTTCTGGTATCGAATCTTCCCAGTCAATTTGTCCAATTCTGCATATTCGGTCAATTTCCTTCTCCATTCTTCCACTGTTGGAATTTCTTCCTGTTTCCATCTTTGGGCCAGAAGTATCCTTGCGGCAATCACTGCATATTGAAACAGTTTACAGTCTCTCTTATTGATTTCGTTTCCTACCATTCCTAATAGAAAGGCTTCTGGTTTTTTAACGAACGGATATTTCAACAGCTTTTTTCAATTCTTTGTATATCATTTCCCAGAGGTCTTTCGCCTTTTTACACTCCCACCACATATGATAGAAAGTACCTTCTTTTTCTTTACATTTCCAACACTTATTGCATGTTTTATACATTTTGGCCAGTTTAACTGGCGTTATATACCATCTGTAAAACATTTTCATTACATTTTCTTTCAACGCAGTACATGCCGTAAATTTTAGCCTTTCATTCCATAATTTCATCCAATCATCATACTGTATATTGTAACCAAAGTCTCTTGCCCAGTGTATCATTACTACTTTTACCTCTTCATCTTTTGTATGCCACTCCAGCAACACTTTATACATTTTAGACAGGTTTTTATACTCATTATTCAATACCTCCACTTGGAATTTTGATTCTTTACCTTCATACCCACACATTTTACAATCTTTTTT